AAACAAGTACTGGTAGCTGGGGACCTATTCTAACCCAGACTACCTACAGGGAGACACGTACTGGTAGCTGGGGACCTATTCTAACCCAGACTACCTACATGGAGACACGTATTGGTAGCTGGGGACCTATTCTAACCCAGACTACCTACAGGTAAAAAAAAATACTGGTAGCTGGGGACCTATTCTAACCCAGACTACCTACAGGGAGACAAGTACTGGTAGCTGGGGACCTATTCTAACCCAGACTACCTACATGGAGACAAGTACTGGTAGCTGGGGACCTATTCTAACCCAGACTACCTTCAGGGAAACAAGTACTGGTAGCTGGGGACCTATTCTAACAAAGACTACCTACAGGGAAACAAGTACTGGTAGCTGGGGACCTATTCTAACCCAGACTACCTACAGGGAAACACGTACTGGTAGCTGGGGACCTATTCTAACCCAGACTACCTACATGGAGACACGTATTGGGAGCTGGGGACCTATTCTAACCCAGAATACCTTACAGGGAGACAAGTACTGGTAGCTGGGGACCTATTCTAACCCAGACTACCTACAGGGAAACACGTACTGGTAGCTGGGGACCTATTCTAACCCATACTACCTACATGGAGACACGTATTGGGAGCTGGAGACCTATTCTAACCCAGAATACCTTACAGGGAGACAAGTACTGGTAGCTGGGGACCTATTCTAACCCAGACTACCTACATGGAGACAAGTACTGGTAGCTGGGGACCTATTCTAACCCAGACTACCTACATGGAGACAAGTACTGGTAGCTGGGGACCTATTCTAACAAAGACTACCTACAGGGAAACAAGTACTGGTAGCTGGGGACCTATTCTAACCCAGACTACCTACAGGGAAACACGTACTGGTAGCTGGGGACCTATTCTAACCCAGACTACCTACATGGAGACACGTATTGGGAGCTGGGGACCTATTCTAACCCAGAATACCTTACAGGGAGACAAGTACTGGTAGCTGGGGACCTATTCTAACCCAGACTACCTACAGGGAAACACGTACTGGTAGCTGGGGACCTATTCTAACCCAGACTACCTACATGGAGACACGTATTGGGAGCTGGAGACCTATTCTAACCCAGAATACCTTACAGGGAGACAAGTACTGGTAGCTGGGGACCTATTCTAACCCAGACTACCTACATGGAGACAAGTACTGGTAGCTGGGGACCTATTCTAACCCAGACTACCTACATGGAGACAAGTACTGGTAGCTGGGGACCTATTCTAACCCAGACTACCTACATGGAGACAAGTACTGGTAGCTGGGGACCTATTCTAACCCAGACTACCTACAGGGAAACAAGTACTGGTAGCTGGGGACCTATTCTAACCCAGACTACCTACAGGGAGACACGTACTGGTAGCTGGGGACCTAATCTAACCCAGACTACCTACAGGGAGACAAGTACTGGTAGCTGGGGACCTATTCTAACCCAGACTACCTACAGGGAGACAAGTACTGGTAGCTGGGGACCTATTCTAACCCAGACTACCTACAGGGAGACACGTACTGGTAGCTGGGGACCTAATCTAACCCAGACTACCTACAGGGAGACAAGTACTGGTAGCTGGGGACCTATTCTAACCCAGACTACCTACAGGGAGACAAGTACTGGTAGCTGGGGACCTATTCTAACCCAGACTACCTACATGGAGACAAGTACTGGTAGCTGGGGACCTATTCTAACCCAGACTACCTACAGGGAGACACGTATTGGTAGCTGGGGACCTATTCTAACCCAGACTACCTACATGGAGACACGTATTGGGAGCTGGAGACCTATTCTAACCCAGAATACCTTACAGGGAGACAAGTACTGGTAGCTGGGGACCTATTCTAACCCAGACTACCTACAGGGAGACACGTACTGGTATCTGGGGACCTATTCTAACCCAGACTACCTACAGGGAGACAAGTACTGGTAGCTGGGGACCTATTCTAACCCAGACTACCTACATGGAGACACATACTGGTAGCTGGGGACCTATTCTAACCCAGACTACCTACAGGGAGACACGTACTGGTAGCTGGGGACCTATTCTAACCCAGACTACCTACAGGGAGACAAGTACTGATAGCTGGGGACCTATTCTAACCCAGACTGCCTACAGGGAGACAAGTACTGGTAGCTGGGGACCTATTCTAACCCAGACTACCTACATGGAGACACGTATTGGGAGCTGGGGACCTATTCTAACCCAGACTACCTACAGGGAAACACGTACTGGTAGCTGGGGACCTATTCTAACCCAGACTACCTACATGGAGACACGTATTGGGAGCTGGGGACCTATTCTAACCCAGACTACCTACAGGGAAACACGTACTGGTAGCTGGGGACCTATTCTAACCCAGACTACCTACAGGGAGACACATACTGGTAGCTGGGGACCTATTCTAACCCAGACTACCTACAGGGAGACAAGTACTGGTAGCTGGGGACCTATTCTAACCCAGACTGCCTACAGGGAGACAAGTACTAGTAGCTGGGGACTTATTCTAACTCAGACTCCCAAGGGAAAAGAGACTTTAGAATGGATTGTTGGTGTTGTTTGTTGATTAATACCTCACTCATCATTTTGACAGCTGTCTAAATAATTTAGTCTGGACCAGACAAGACAGTGATTGACATCATGAGCATTAATCCAAGCAATTGGGACACAATGACATGTCTTCAACAAAATCAGCTCTTCTGGATACCTGATCTATTTGGCTGCCTTGACTTGCATTTAGGGTGGCCGGGAACTATTTTGAGAATGTTATTCAAGACGTTACACAGAATATAGTCACTGCTAAAGACAAACTATTTTACTCTCTGAAAGGACACAGGGGAGGAGGTAGGTTTATTTTATTTTCACATCATTTTTTATCAGGACATTAAGCATGTCAATCCAGTAAAGTGTATATTTGGGGGAAAAAATCTGATGCAAAATTACTTTTTACTGTATTTTCTGGAATAAAAAAAGAAGCTATTATTAATAGTATAAGTCTAACTAAAAAGGTTTATACATCATAACCACATGGCCATGAAGTGCTTTACAAGCTGATATACATCTATTTTGATCATACTTTGCATGTAACACATCTATTTTGATCATAATGTGCATGTAACACATCTATTTTGATCATACTGTGCATGTAACATATCTATTTTGATCATACTTTGCATTTAACACATCTATTTTGATCATACTGTGCATGTAATACATCTATTTTGATCATACTGTGCATGTAACATATCTATTTTGATTATACTTTGCATTTAACACATCTATTTTGATCATACTGTGCATGTAACACATCTATTTTGATCATACGGTGCATGTAACACATCTATTTTGATCATACTGTGCATGTAACACATCTATTTTGATCATACTGTGCATGTAACACATCTATTTTGATCATAATGTGCATGTAACACATCTATTTTGATCATACTGTGCATGTAATAGATCTATTTTGATCATACTGTGCATGTAACACATCTATTTTGATCATACTGTGCATGTAATGCATCTATTTTGATCATACTGTGCATATAACACATCTATTTTGATCATACTGTGCATGTAACACATCTATTTTGATCATACTGTGCATGTTAATCTCCATCAAGCCTCCAGACAAGATGGTATGATCAGATTACTTTGGTAAAGACAGGTGAACGCTCTTTTCATTTACAGCTAATACATCCACAGGTGAAAAGAAAAGAGGCCAAACACAAGATCACATGAGCATGATAAGGGCTTTGTACTGACAAGCATTACACAAGAGGAAATAGAGGGTATTGTGGCAGGTATCAATCATACAGCCTCAGGCTGTCCTACACACCAGGATATGTTCATTTCATTACACTCGTCAATTTCATTACACGCATCTTGTCTGTAGATGTCTATCTGACAGCTGTTTGAAGGATGTAGGTCTGTTGAGTGAAATTGACGGCACTCTGAACAGGTTATGAGTTATATCACTGCATGAAATGTCAGCTTGAGTGAGTGAGTGAGTGAGTTGGGTTAAACGTTGGTTTTAATAGTGTTCAAGTTACATCACAGTACGTCAGCTTAATTTTGGAAGAAAGCTTGAAATGATGCAGGTCTTAGACGTTTACCACTTTGGTGAAACCCACAGCGCATGGTGCTGACGAACCTAGAAAAATTAGGGCGAACCGGGATTCGAACCCACAATCAATCTAAGTAACATTGTCGATTTCATCATCGGGTCACAATGCCAATGAACATGAATATGATATGAAATGTTATATCAAATCACAGACAGTGTAACAAACAACTTCCAGATAAGAACCCTTATAAATAAACTCAAGAAAGCATTTAACAAGCACCCATATCTACCTGATGCAGATATCTATCTGAAAGTGACTAAATGGAGAAAGCACACAATATTATTAAGCACTAAAAAAGCAACAATAAGCAGTTACCATGGTTACCGATAAAAAAACAAGCAAGATTAGAATATAAGATCAAAATGCTAGGCAAAAAGATACAAAATTATGATTTATATATCAGCATATACCAGCAAAACATGATGTATATATTTCTATATCTAAACTCTACACCAATCTTCTATTAACGTGACAAAAACTTATTAATTTCTGTGCTTCTTTTGAGGTAAAAATGTTAAGAATGAAACATTAAAAGTGATCCTCTAAAGAAATTACAGTGTCATTACAGTGATTGATGATGATGATGATGATGATGATGATGATGATGATAGTATAAGTAATGAATTATGTGAATTTTCATTTAAACACTTAAACTGTACAATATTCATAATTTTTTGGCTTTAAAATGAATCTTCACCTCAACAATTTGAAAACAAAACAAAATATAAAGCCAGTGTATAGATGCGACAGGTAATTTCAAACTGTTACCATCTAAATTAAAGAATAGAACAAAAGATCATGTAAACAAAAGCTAGCATTAACATTAGCTATTTAAAAATACCTCTGTTTAATCTTTCCGGGGCTACCTCATTGGTAGAATCTTTAGCTGTAAAAGCAAAATGCTTGACGTGTTTACAACAATCGTTATGACCTTTCATTTTTTATGACAGCTTAATGACTAATTAATGACTTGTAGAATTGCAATTAGCTGTTAGTATGTTCGGAGGTGTAAAAACAGCAATCTCAAGTCAGTGTGTTGGGAATATAGGACTGTTTGTTAATTGCAAGTACTGAGTTAGTTTTGGCCTGGGGCATGTTCTGTCAACTGACCACAGACTACAGACACTGCTGGGGGCCATGTCACGATACCAGGTCAACAACAGCTATGAGGTCTAACAATGCTGGCAATGTTTTCTCCTTGTAGTCAAACACGCTGATACAATCATAAAACAATAAAACAATAATCATATTTTATCACACTAATCATCCTATCTGGTAAACAAAGTAGCCCCTATCGGGTATAATTTATTTTTTTGTATACTTCTCAAAACGAGTTAAAACACCCACAATTGGTAGGGTGTGTGTTGCAATACCCACAAGCCATGACAGACTAACTATAGTCATATGATAACATTGGGAGTTCTATAACTTCTTTTGTGTAGTATATAAACTTTCGTACCAGGATAAGTATTTTCGTATATATTGTATGGAGTTGTTATTTTTATCCTTCTATTTTTATTTTGAAGTTAAATATCTTGTTTAAAATCTTCCATGCCCATGAACCGGCCTTATAATGAGTGTACCAGCCCGAACTTGTCCTTCTTTACAATTTTAAGTAGTATTTACTCCTGACATAACACTGTCATAATCTAGGCTTATGTGACGAAAGGATATTTTACTAGAGGCTTTAGACAGGCTTAGAAGTTCATTAAAGTTTGTTTGTTGTTTAACGCTGCACTCAGCAATATTCCAGCCATATGCCAGCTCTCTGTAAATAATCCAGTCTGGACCAGACAATCCAGTGATTGATATTTGGAGCACAATGACGTGATCAACCCCGTCAACGAGCCTGACCACCTGATCCATCAAGTTCCCTGTTATGACAAGAATAGGTTGCTGGGGACCTATTCCTACTCAGAATCCCCAAAGGGGGATGCCCAAATATGATTAAAGGGACGTTCCTACTGAATGATGGGGACAGATGACACTGATAATTCCATGGAGTTAAGAAATTCAGTACTAAATTTTTCACGGACTATGTCATAATCATGTTTTCATGTCATGAACAGTCGTGAAAGACATTGTCAACGGAGAATTAAATCACTCCTCTCATAACATCCAATTAATCTGCAGCTCATTTTGAATGAGTGGTATACGTAAAATAACTAGATTTTTTAAAAAACAACTCGTCCCTCCACATTTTCACTAGTCTTGGACTAACAGACAAGTATCTGTGTCTACCCTGAATAAGATAAATGGAATCACAAATTTCATGAATTTCAAAATGTAAGTCAACAGGTTGACAAATTATTATTTTTTGCACCTATGTTTAAAAAGATTCCAGTGTCATTTTACTGGTCATGTTATTTTTTCATATGTCAACAAAACAGTGTTGGAAAATAATGAGATCTGTTCAATCAGAACCACATTTCATAAACAAAGGTTACATAAAAACTTGAGACAAATGAAACTGTAAAAACTGACAACTACACGTTTATCTTATGAAACGTAAAGACATCCCACCAACCATGCCACACAAAACCCAACAAGCTGAACACAGTTACACAACTTAGAACTATTCATAGGAGAGTTGTGTATGATTATCATGCAACTGCTGTACGACATGGGACTTTATGCCACACAAAACCCAACAAGCTGAACACAGTTGCACAACTTGGAACTATTCATAGGAGAGTTGTGTATGATTATCATGCAACTGCTGTACGACATGGGACTTTATACCACACAAAACCCAACAAGCTGAACACAGTTACACAACTTGGAACTATTCATAGGAGAGTTGTGTATGATTATCATGCAACTACTGTACGATATGGGACTTTATGCCACACAGAGCCCAACAAGCTGAACACAGTTACACAACTTGGAACTATTCATAGGAGAGTTGTGTATGATTATCATGCAACTGCTGTACGACATGGGACTTTATGCCACACAGAGCCCAACAAGCTGAACACAGTTACACAACTTGGAACTATTCATAGGAGAGTTGTGTATGATTATCATGCAACTGCTGTACGACATGGGACTTTATGCCACACAGAGCCCAACAAGCTGAACACAGTTACACAACTTGGAACTATTCATAGGAGAGTTGTGTATGATTATCATGCAACTGCTGTACGATATGGGACTTTATGCCACACAGAGCCCAACAAGCTGAACACAGTTACACAACTTAGAACTATTCATAGGAGAGTTGTGTATGATTATCATGCAACTGCTGTACGACATGGGACTTTATGCCACACAAAACCCAACAAGCTGAACACAGTTACACAACTTGGAACTATTCATAGGAGTGTTGTGTATGATTATCATGCAACTGCTGTACGATATGGGACTTTATGCCACACAGAGCCCAACAAGCTGAACACAGTTACACAACTTGGAACTATTCATAGGAGAGTTCTGTATGATTATCATGCAACTGCTGTACGATATGGGACTTTATGCCACACAGAGCCCAACAAGCTGAACACAGTTACACAACTTAGAACTATTCATAGGAGAGTTCTGTATGATTATCATGCAACTGCTGTACGATATGTGACTTTATCATGTGTTTATGCCACACAGAGCCCAACAAGCTGAACACAGTTACACAACTTAGAACTATTCATAGGAGAGTTGTGTATGATTATCATGCAACTGCTGTACGACATGGGACTTTATGCCACACAGAGCCCAACAAGCTGAACACAGTTACACAACTTGGAACTATTCATAGGAGAGTTGTGTATGATTATCATGCAACTGCTGTACGATATGGGACTTTATGCCACACAGAGCCCAACAAGCTGAACACAGTTACACAACTTGGAACTATTCATAGGAGAGTTCTGTATGATTATCATGCAACTGCTGTACGATATGGGACTTTATGCCACACAGAGCCCAACAAGCTGAACACAGTTACACAACTTAGAACTATTCATAGGAGAGTTCTGTATGATTATCATGCAACTGCTGTACGATATGGGACTTTATGCCACACAGAGCCCAACAAGCTGAACACAGTTACACAACTTAGAACTATTCATAGGAGAGTTCTGTATGATTATCATGCAACTGCTGTACGATATGGGACTTTATGCCACACAACAGACCCACAGATGATCAGGGAAGTGAGAAATAATTCATCTTTGCCATAGAGAATATTTGCGTGAGATTCCAGGCGTATGTTTGCGCTGCGTTCTGCAGGACTGTTTATACACAGGATTATTACTTTCAGAATGTAAACTGATAGAGAATCTTCATATTAGGTTACCCAGAGCGACTGATTTATGAAGAGCGTTGCATGCGAGCGGCAAGAGGTTTCAGCGCCCGTGTTACAAGTATTCAACATGTTGACTCATCTGCACAAACTCTTCTGTCATTAAAAGGTGTTAAAGTAATAAAACGGTTTTAAATGTGTGCCTTTAAAAAACATTGTGAGAGAGTTTTTTACCCATCTGGTTTAACAGGCCTTGACTAGCTGCAGACAAAATGATTTGTTGGAATTTAAATGGCCTGAACACTATCCATGCTGTGGGACCAAACATTTGATAGACTGTGGTAGGGCCTAGGATTGACATTTAACTATAAATGTTCCAGAAAAAGCTGGGGAAAGATAATTTGGCCACAGGGTTTACACACTGGACATGCTCGGTGTCCTGAAGAAAATTGTGGCCCTCCCCACTCTGTTATTGGTAACAGCTCCTTCTATGTCGTTTTTGTGAAATTTGTTTGTCGTGAACATTGTATATTAGATGGATGTCATGTGAATCATACGGCTATGTCATTGTGTATTAGATGTGTGTTATGTGTAATGTATGGCTATGTCATTATGTATTGGATGTATATATGTATTGTATGGCTATGTCATTGTGTATGGGGGGGCACGGGTGGCCCAGTCGTCTAAGGCGCCGCGATTCGCAGTGCAGAGTTGCGTCCCTTGGGCACGCCAGAAACCTATGATTGTGGGTTTCGAATCCCAGTTCACCCCGATTATGTTTCTAGCTTTGTCAGCACCATACCCGTGTGTTAAGTGTATTGTATGGCCATGTCATGTATTGGATGTATATGTGTATTGTATGGCTATGTCGTTGTGGATTGGATGTGTATGTGTATTGTATGGCTATGTCATAGTATATTGGATGTATATGTGCTTTGTATGGCTATGTCGTCGTGGATTGGATGTATATGTGTATTGTATGGTTATGTCATTGTGTATTGGATGTATATGTGTATTGGGTGTCTATGCCATTATGTATTGGATGTATATGTGTATTGTATCGCTATTTCATTATGTATTGGATGTATATGTGTATTAAACAGCTATGCCATTGTGTATTGGATGTATATGTGTATTGTTTGGCTATGGTGTTATGTATTGGATGTGTATGTGTATTGTATGGCTATGTCATTGTATATTGGATGTATATGTGCATTGTATGGTTATGACATTGTGTATTGGATGTGTTAAGTGTCTTGTAGTATGCATGAATATATGTTTGTTTGTGGTTTAACACTGCACTCAGCAATATTCCAGAAATATGACGGTGGTCTGTAAATACAGATAATTGACTTGTTCTTTTTCCATAGTTTTTGTTTCCTCTTATCATGGCATTGACAAAAACCTATAGGAACTTATCCTTGCGCCAAAATGGCACATTTGCATTTCGTTCCACAATAATCAGTTAGAAGTACAGAAAATCTTGATAATGATATTCTTTCCTTCATATCCCGATGTGTCAGCTGGGTGTGGGAGGTAAGCCAGAAGTGATCTAGGTCTCCGACAGTTATCACTTTGGTGAAGCCCATGAGTATGGCGCCACCAAACCAAGAACTGAGCCCAACGATGAATATCATGTTGCTTATTAACATATATGAATAATGTCTAAAGTCATGTTTGAAATTGTTTACAATAACAAAGGTTGTCAACATTCAGCTACAGAAACTAAATTTAATATCATCGATAAGCATGATCACACTTAAATATACAAGTTTGTACTGTCCAAATTAATCAAATACGTGTTCACTCAGTGACGTGCTGGCATCAGCATGCACAAATGATCAGGGAGATATTTAATAAAACTTTTACAAATGAACAACTTTTTGAACTAATGAAATGAAGTTCTACCCACACATAACATATAGAAAATATTCTATTCACACATGTTAACAGTTATTACAGATATTTTTCATTTCACTTGTGAAGTGGCTATTATTTTTCTTAAAAAATGCCTATGAAGCTACTCACCATATATAGCATACTGGTCGACTCTGCTGTTAGTGGGTGCTAGTTTATCAGTGTTGGTTTGTAATCTCGGATCTCTTGGCTCAGCACTTGAACGTTCTCGCTGCCAGTTTTTAAGTTCATTCAATACACGTCCCCCTTTCGACTTCTCCCTCGGCGGTACGTCTGGGGGTGCCAAATCGGTAGATTTCCTATACTGAGTTGGCCGGTCGGGTCTTTGGGGCACCCTATACAACTCATGTGCACTGCTGTAAATGTTTTCACTGTGAGATGGGTGTCCATAGCCCCTTCTAAAATTTGTATTTGCAGCATTATTAGGTTTAACTGCAGCTGTTGCTGGAGGGGCTTGTGGCGGATAGCTTCTCGTGATTTGGGGTGGGGGTTGGGAGTGTCCTCGTGGGGGTGCGTCCCCCCTCCCCCTAGGGGCGTCACCCCGTGGGATGTGGTGACCCGGGCCACGATTCTCCTTTCCGCTGAGGCTTGTGACAGGCTTATGTTTCAATAACGCTAATCTTAGACCGGCCACAAACTTACTAAAGCTCAATAAACCGTCAGACGGGGTGACTTTTCTCAAAGCTTCAACGACACCTGTGGGTAAGCCTTTGACTCCATTTTCGCTCCACCTCGATTCGATGTCACACAAACGAACATATCCGCTCCGATTCTCGTCCAGAATCTCAAAAAGTATCCTCAAAGATGAAATAAACTGCTTGGGAAGCCCGTCAATTGTCTCTGTATTGTCCGATACCGACATTTTGAAAATAAATTGGTCAGTATTTCTTCCGTTCACCTGGAGCCATCATCTGCTTTCGAAGACTTGTCAACTATACGTAATACGTAATCTGATTGGTCCATATAAGTCGGTAGGCGCTCTTACGCCGCTTATGATTGGTTACCTGGCGGGGACTTAACATGTGCTTTCATCTTTCTGTTGATTGGATTGTTTGCAGATAAACAGAATACTGCAGAACCCAAGCTGCTTGAGATCGTATTACCCGCCTTCGGGACAAGGCGAGGAACACGTAAATGGATTCTACCACAGCAATAATACATGCACTAAAACAAACAAACAATGAATTGTTTCGACTTTATCTAAAACTGGCTATTTACAATCAACGAATAACCTGATTTTATGACTCGTGGATTGTTGAAATTCATTTTTTAACAGCATGTATATAGTCATGACTCGTCGATATTTGATATTTATAGTCGCCTTCACTTCCCAACGGGCTTCAAACGTAATTTTGGACCATAAACTTGACGTGTTATTTTTGAGAGACTGTTTTTGCAATGTCACCATTACAGAGCCTATTTTAGGGATTTCTACATTATTCCCAAATTTGGTTCCAAATAATCTGTTTTGGAAATTTGGGCTAAATTTGTGGTTTGGGTTTTGCCACAATTCGACATACCCATGCAATATCTGTTGATGAAGGTTTTGTAGCATTTTTAATTCAGCAGCTGCATCGATTCAAATTTTATCAATTATCATCCAATCTCATTAAAATCAGATCTTAGTTCTCGCTATCGCTAAACAAGCGGCAGCGAAAACTTAGATCTGATTTTAATGAGATTGAATATCATCTAAATTCACATAACACGCCGATTTTGAGTCAACTTGTTTTCAAATATGAAGGGTTAATGATGCCAAACTTTGGCTTATGTATACAACTTTATGCTAAGTGTTGATGTGTAAATTTTAAACTTGATTAAGGCATACAAAATGAGGTGTTAATTTGGCGGTTTTTGTTGTTGCCAGATTTGTTCTCCATCCTGATGAGAATCGCTTGACAACTGATACTTTCAGGGCTCATATTAAGGATGTCTACATTATTTTATATATCCTCAATATATAAGACGTGTGTTGAGTTACGCCTAGCAATCGGCTTTTGATATTTCCACAGGTTATTCAACATGTACAATAAGTGTGTAATATATTGAGTTATAAATAGTGTACTCGCACACTTTAAAATAACCCAATATTTCAGTTATTTTCTGATTATGACTATATTTTTATACTTATGCATTTCTAACACCTCGACCGAAGTTCAGATGAAGGGAACACTCTCAGGCCAATATGTATTAAATAAAATATTAAATGAGTGAGTTTAAGTGTTACGTCGTATCATTAATACCTCGGCCTTACACTGACGAGAGCAAAATCTACATTAATGAAAAAGCCTCTACATTAAAACAGTAAGATAAGTATCACAGATTAAATAGAAAACAAACTTGTCAGATAAAACTATACCCGTGAAGATCCGGGGTAGAATAGGTCTTAAGCAACACATGCTTGCCGTAAAAGGCGACTATGCTTTTCGTAAGAGGCGACAAACGGGATCGGGTGGTCAGGCTCGCTGACTTGGTTGATGCATATCATCGATCCCAATTGCGTGGATCGACAATCACTGGATTGTCTTGTCCAGACTCGATTATTTACCGACCGCCGTCATATAGCTGGATCATTGCTGAGTGCGGCGTAAAAAAACAAACAAACAAACATAATATGACAAAATCCTTTCATGATTCTCGTTTACAGGACAAAGTTGACCCCAATGTTAACCTCTCACAAACAAACAAACAAACAAAACAAAGATCGATGCTCATGATGTGTCAATCAAACGCATGTAATGTATATAAATACACAATTTATTATACAGACCAATTTGATTGTGATATAGTAATATTAAATGCCACCTCCGTCCGATAGAAACATGGATCTTTCAGATGTTTTAAAGGAGAATTCCATCTGCGCGTGAAATCCACACAATCAAGCACCAAAAACAGAAAAAATACATAACATGTTCTTAGTGTCCACCCTTTGGACCAAAATATGAACAAAATTACTAGTCAATTTTGTTTTATCTAATAGGCCTATAATTTCCTTTATATCACGGAAACATGTCTGTTTATACCATGGAACTAATGTTACAATGTTGTTGTGTGCACCTTATGTATCACAAACCTTATAATCGTTGTTGTTTAATACAAACATGTACCACATAGTTATAAAAAAACCACAAAAAAAACCACAATCAACCTCCATTTTCCGCGGAAACAGGTGAAATTTGGTTTAACGTGCGTCCAAGATTATTGCTCTTATATAGCGACGTGCATGCACGTGTGTGTGTGTGGCTGCTTGTACTAGTCCGGACTGATGCCGATTTATAGTGCTAGCTCACTGAGATACCATGCCGCAGTTTAACATGAATACCCCACTCAGACACAGTATACTGACTCCGAGCCGAACAGTCCTTGTTTTAACCCCTTAATGTCGAGCGCCAGACAGGGTAACAACAAGTACCATCTTTTAACGTCTTTTGGTATGACGCGGCCGGGGATCGAACCCCGGACCTTCCACTCTCCGGGCGGACGCTCTACCACAAGACCACGGAGGCGGCTCCGCGGAAACAGATTCCAGGCATAAAAGCAAAGGAATGCATGGTGAAAAATATATTCATGGATCAGTGAAAATCAGTGACGACACTAGGTGTTCACGAAAAGGGTAAGCATGCACTGCCCTACCAGTACGCCGCCACCCACACAATTTTCATAAAAAGTAAGTATTTGTTGCCTGACACCCCACAGTAGTACTCTTGACCCGAAAAAATCCGGGGTAGAATAGGTCTTTAGCAACCCATGCTTGCCGTAAAAGGTGACTATGCTTGTCGTAAGAGGCGATTAACGGGATCGGTTGGCCAGGCTCGCTGACTTGGTTGATGCATGTCATCGCTCCCAATTGAGTGGATCGACGCTCATGATGTCAATCACAGAATCGATTATTTACAGACCGCCATCATATAGCTGGAATATTAAACAACAAACAAACAAAACTCCCGCTATGGACGGTGACACAAACCAGATAATCAAGTGATGGACCAGAAAATCCAGTGACAGGATGGCGCAATTTACTTTTTTAAAAACTAAAAACGATATATTAATTTTGAATTACGTCTACTGTTTACAGTAGCAGAGATTCTGCTGCTTATAAGTAAATATAAAACGTTTATGAAATATGTATACACACTGTATACACACTAGACGCAGTGTTTATGTACACATTTGTCTTTATTTCACAAGGGGAAGACCCGTGGAGACCAGGGGTAGAATAGGTCTTCAGCAACCCATGCTTGCCGTAAAAGGCGACTATAGGGACATGGTGGTCAGGCTTACTGGTTGATGCATGTCATCGTATCCCAATTGCGTGGATTGATGCTCATGATGTCAATCACTTGATTGTCTGGTCCAGACTCGATTATTTACAGACCGCTACCATATAAGCAGGAATATATAAACAATATATAAAAACAAACAAACAAACAGACAAACACAAGGGGAAACGTGACTTTTTACATCCTAACTAGATTTCTAGATCTGAAGTAAAGTTGTTTTTAATAATGTAACAATGACAAACATTCAGCAATTTCAAACATTGTAATATCCTCGATTGTCCATGCAGTGTATTATATCTCCATTCTATTTTGATAACTAATTTTGATATTTTAATAAAAAAAATAGACATAATTCGCTGGATGACATCGTAATTAACCACTGTTTGTGGATATTCCGGATTAGACTAGAACCCTGGTAACCAAGAGCTACACTATAAGTGGCGACAGAATGGATCTAGTTGTGAGGCTCGTGTTTTGTTTGTTTGTTTGTTGTTTAACGCCTACTCAGCAATATTCCAGCTGTATGACGGCGGTCTGTAAATGATCGGGACCAGAACATCCAGTGACTGACATCATGAACATCGATCCACGTAATTGGGATGCATGAACCATTTTCAGCGAGTCTGACCATCCAAACCCGTTAGCCGCCTCTTCCGACAAACATGTTTAGTGAAGACCAGTTCTAAACCCGGAATCTTCTGGGGACTGAGTGACTTGGCTGATTGCTTGGATCGATGCTCATAATATTAACCCACAAGTTCAACTGGTCCAGGTTCTATTTGTTACAGGCCGCTGTCGTATAGCGGGAGTAGTGTAAGGACGGTGGGATTTTATAACACTTCAACCGCATTGTGGAGATAGATTTCAGTCTGAAACGCATTGCGGTGGTTTGTTTTATTTAAATACTTGGAACACGGTGTCGCCGACCCAAATTTCACAGATGTGTAATAATCTCATATTTTTTAGAATACTCTTTTTTCTTCCATTTAGCTAGCAAAGTGGGGAATAAAGAGTGAGTGGGTATGATTTTTCGCCGCTTTTAGCAATAATTCCAGCAACATCACGACGGGGGACACCAGACATGGGCTTCACACATGTCGGGAATCGAAGCCGGGCCTTCGCCGTGACGAGCTAACGCTTTCACCACTAGGCTACTCTACCGCCCCTGGAAATATGGATAGTTTATATAGTAAGGCACAGTAACCTTTTGATTGCTCAAATTGTATTCAACCCGAACGAACATGCATGTAAGAAAACGTTTCAGTGATCTTTTAGTCGAACCAACCCTTTTGGAGAAAAAAAGGCCATTGATGAAGACCTACAGTCCGTTTGGCTCCAAAATGAGTTCCTCCTGCCCCCCTTCAAGATGTCAACCTGTACACGTAACAACATGATCGTTTCTTAAACAACTTTTTAAAGTCACGGGAATAAAAATAACAAACAGCTGATATTGTTGGGTACAGGGTATTGCGGTATATCGTATTGACGTGTAAAAGACTATTCCCGATTTTGCGATATTTTGCTATTCATCCTTCTCATTTGGAGCCGAACGGACTGTAATGTGTATCTACTTTCTCCACCGTGTATGCCACGTTTTAAGACACAGGCCCGTTTCCTACATAATCTCATAAACTGCCTGGTAAAAGAAAGTATACACCACTGTTTGATTTAGGCTAAAAATTAAACAAACAAGGTGATGTTTTTTTCATGGTTATGTTTTCGCAACGGGTATCATAGTTGTTTTTTCTACCTTAAGTTAAGCAGCGTGTCGGCTTTATAACGTTTTGATCATGTTTGTCATTTTGGGGCCAAATCCAGTTTCAAGTGGATTCTTTCTTTTGCCCCGGAGTTTAGACTTACAACACATAAACTTGTCGTTTATCTTCCTTGCTTCGCCATACAACATTCGAATATAACTTATAGGCCATCATATTATTCTGCGGACCCAGGCGTCTTAAGGCGCCCCAATTCGCAGTGCACATTTGCGTCTCTTGGGCACGCCAGAAACCTCTGGTTGTGGATTCGAATCCCGGTTCGCTCATATTATGTTTCTAGGTTTGTCATCAACATACCCGTGCTCGTGGGTTTCACCGATGTGGTAAACGTCTGAGACCTGCATCACTTCGGGCTTTCCTCCCACATTAAGCTGACAAGCCTTGATGTAACTGGAATACTGTTCAAAGCGGCGTTAAATACTATGCTGTGTGTTTCCCATTCCCATGCTCAGCTTCAGAGGGAACGTGTAGGTTGCAAGATATTTATATATATAAACAAATAAACAAGAACTCTTCATCGCGAGCGTGGTCATTTTTCAACATTTTCAGAATGTGTGTATGTTCATAGACTCGCGGCATCATGCGTGGGCCATAATCGTAGCGCAACTGTTGTTGCGGTGTAGAGAGCTTAAAGCACGGGAGAAGTGTGGAGATTACACAACAGAATACCGCCAAGATCAGTAACTTCGCTTCTTTGAATATCACTCCGATAAAATACAGCGAGAATACTTTTTTTTTAACGAAACTGACATTTCCTTCATTTTATCCTGCGCGTGGTGATATTTTATTTTCCGACCGGAGAATGGATGGTTACAAAATCTGTTGTGTTTATCTGTGACTGAGCTAGAGCATGGAAAGCATATACAAAGAGTTATTCACAGCACGACCATTAACTCTTAGCGCTATGGTTAATAAACTGAACTGGCACGAGATGCGAAATTACATTTCACTGGAATATTGCTGAGCGCGGCGTTAAACAACAAACAAACAAAACAAATTACTTCTAAATGCCTATAAAGACATAACTGTAACTTGGTATTTCACAAACCACAAAATACAAATATGATACAGTTTCTATTTGTAAATAATGACCTTATGTATATATACCGTCGAATGAACATTGGCTTAGAATTACAACCCTATGCATGCTGCTTGGGTATAGGTCATAAGCACCAAGTTGTTTTGCCATCTTTTTGATGTAAACGAAATACTTTCTTACATATAGCAGTTTCGACATTTTAGCCTAAAGGGGACAACATTATTTGCTTTCACATCAGTTGCCGTTAGCATCATTGTGAACTGTATCAGTCTCGGGACGCCAAGTCGTGCTTGTAGACGCAATTAGCGGGACAGAGTTGCGTCCCTTGGGCGTGGCAGATCCATACGATCGTTAGTTCGAATCCAAGATTGGCAAGATTATGATTCTTGGTTTGCCAGGACCACAACTGCGCATATGGATTTCACCTTTTTTTTAAGTGGTAAAAGTATGTGACCTGAAGCACATACGTTGAAGCACTCATAAAATGCCTATAATGAGAGTGTTGATCTAATTCAAATCTTGGAAAATATTGATGTGCTGCCGAAGCCAGTAATATCATGATATAATATAAAATATATGTAATAACTGAAGTGATGTTCAAAGCGGCTTTAAGAGCTCTTAATTGTAATAAAGAAGTTGTTCATCCATAAATTCTTATCCTTACTTAATATATAATTTGATTATTTACAGACCGCCGTCATATAGCTGGAATATTGCTGAGCGCGGTGTTAAACAACAAACAAACATACAATCATTGTCCAAATACAATGCAATGAACTTTCACGGAGTCTCAACAGAAACAATAGAATACAGTTACAATCATCATTTAACAATAAATTACACTGCCATATAAACAAATTCATACTGGAAACAGAAACTGTTTCATTCGTATTAAATGTTTGTTTGTTTTTTAACGCCTCACTCAGCAATATTCAAGCTATATGACGGCGGTCTGTAAATAATCGAGTCTGGACCTGACAACCCAGTGATTGATATCATGAGCATCGATCCACGCAATTGAGATCCATGACATGCATCTACCAGGTCAGCGAGCCTGACCACCCGATCCCGTTAGTCGCCTATTACGTCAAGCACAGTCGCCTTTTACGGCAGGCATGGGTTGCTGAAGACCTATTCTACCCCGGATCTTCACGGCAGGCATGTGTTGCTGAAGACCTATTCTACCCCGGACCTTCACGGGGACATAACAATAAAAACACTTGTTAACAACGTCATGTAACTTTTTTAAAATTCCTAAACTTCAATGTTTTGTTTGTTTGTTGTTTAACGCCGCGGTCAGTGATTGATTGATACAATCAACCAAGTCAGCAATTTTAAGAAATCATCTCCATGTACATGTCTGCAGAACACTGGAAATCAAAGAAAAACATACACACTTTGAATAAGTTCACACTGACATATTTATTCAATTACATTTTCTCCATATATCAAACTTACCAATCGCCAGAAAAAAAAGAGAATAAAAAGAGAATCATCATCATCATCATCATCATCACTTAGGTGTTTGGTATTAAAAACGATAAGTATGTTGCTTAAAATGGGAGAAGAAGCCAAAGTTTTCAAATTTCACATCCCTGTTGAATACTTCTGGGGGCTCTGGGTCATATCCAAAAAGTTCACAGTCGGGTCTGTAAATCTCCTTAAGTCGTTCTAGATATTCCATAGGAACGGTCCTGTAGGCCACGATCAGGGCTAGTTCGCGCTGCTGGTGTCTCCCAGAACCCCTCCAAGACTCATCAGATTTATAGGTAGAGCGAAGCAGGGCCTGGAATCCCTCCAGTGATAAGGCATCACCTTGCCGAAGCGGGAAGGGATTATGTCTTCCAAGAAAACCTCGTATTTGAAAGGTTTTCCAAAGCCTCCTGAAAACGTCAATGGTCGCCATGCACAAGGTATGACGTATAGTATAAGAAGCGTTTGAAATGTCCATCATAATATTAATATCACTGTCCGACGACATCTCTTTGCTGTCTACCGGAACATCTTTCATTCCAAATTTTCGTAATATGTATCTCACATCTCGGGAAAAGGTTTCCATCTTGCCAATGACATCATAGTTGATTTCGCATTGGTGACAGAAAAGCCTCTGGGGTGAAAAGTGCCATTCACTTATTTTAGGAGTATTGTAGGTGAGTATCACGAATAGTACGGCATCTGTGAATGTAACGTCGGATCCACATGCACGTGCTTTGACGTCAGGTTGTGATCTTACACCATTGATTATTTGCTGCGAAAAACTACCTTCTTTATATGAAGGGATAAACAACCTGTCTATAAACGCCGAAAAAAGTCTTTTGTAAGGATCTCGAACGAACATGAACGTTTTGTAAGGAGACACGCTCTGTGCGTTTTGGAAATACTGCTTCATCCCAGTGACGTAATGGATTGCGTTTCCGTTTAACGAAAAGGGAGATGACTCTGATTGATTTGTGTGCAACCAATAAAGAATTCTCTTCAATGTGCTAGAGCCAACTTTAGGGATGGCACAGAACGCAGCTGAACTGTTGGGATCGATAGTGAATACCATCTTGTACCACAGCGGCTCGAAGAAATGCTTCTTGCAAACATGTTTAACACGTGCAAGACGAGCGGCATGTTCGAGATCTACTTCATCAATACTCTGCGACGAAGAGAGGTCAACCTTGTCCTGTAAATGAGAATCATGAAAGGACTTTGTGATATTAGGAGTGAGTGAGTGAATGTGGTTTTACGCCGCTTTTAGCAATATTCCAGCAATATCACGGCGGGGGACACCAGAAATGGGCTTCACACATTGTACCCATGTCGGGATTCGAACCCGGGTTTTCGGCGAACGTGTGATATTAGGAAGAGGGAAGAGTGAGTGAGTGAATATGGTTTAACGCCGCTTTTAACAGTATTCCAGTTATATCACGGCATGTCAGCTTAATGTGGGAGGAAAGCCCGAAGTGTTGCAGGTCTCAGACGTTTACCACTTCGGTGAAACCCACGAGCACGGGTATTGTGCTGACAAACCTAGAAACATAATCTGGGCGAACCGGGATTCGAACCCACAATCATAGGTTTCTGGCGTGCTCAAGGGGCGCAACTCTGCACAGCGAATCGCGGCGCCTTAGACGACTGGGCCACCCGTCCCCCGCACAACTAAGAGTGTAGACCTAATGGAACTTTGGGGTATCATTAACCTGTCACTGAGCCAAAATAATATTGTGGCCATTACGCACATCTACCACGTTCAACCTAACAGCAGAAAACAGTTGTTATAGACATTTTTAGATTAGGTTTTGTTACTTAAACACAGTTAATTACTTTGTCATTTGGCGCCTGATAGACTTCAATACCTATATACTGATTGCTTGACTGACATCATTCGGAAGTTAAGACTGTTTACTAGTGCTATTGGTTTTCGATCCATATCAATATCGTCAATATTTAAAAAATCATTTAAGTCTCAACTTGCCTTCGTTGACAATGACGAAATCAGCGATAGATCATCTGAAACAAACAATCAAGTTGTTTTACTAGACTTACAATAGTTCCTTATTAAGCAATCTGTTATATTGTTTGTATGTTGTTTAACGCCGCACTCAGCATTATTCCAGCTATATGACGGTGGTCTGTAAATAATCGAATCCAGTGATTGTGCATCGATCCACGCAATTGAGATCCATGACATGCATCTACCAGGTCAGCGAGCCTGACCACCCGATCCCGTTAGTCGCCTCTTACGACAAGTATAGTCGTCTGTTACGGCAAGCATGGGTTGCTGAAGACCTATTCTACCCCGGATCCTCACGGGCTGGTATATATATATACAGCAAGAGAAACGCAATTTCTACATACATTTTTGATACAAATCATATTCAGATACATTCTTTTGGGGGACTGAGTGTAAGTAAACGTTCTCCTGCATAATATCCTTTCCTGAAAACCCAGCTCGTGTGAGTGAGTGAGTGAGTATGGTTTTACACCGCTTTTAGCAATATTCCAGCAATATCACGGCGAGGGACACCAGAAATGGGCTTCACACATTGTACCCAGCTCGTGTTTCAGGTCCTACAAAAAACATTAGCGCAAACGCAACCTCACATAAATCAGTGGGAGCGGTTGCGAAAATGGGGGGGGGGGGGGGGGGGGGGGGGGAGGCGGGCATGTTGCTATGGTAACATTCAAATCTTGATACAATCGTGTGGAAACCTTACCTTGACATACAGATACAAGAACGGCCAGCAATGTCAGAGCAACAATGGCGAAAAATACAATCGCCAGATTAGAAATTGACGCCATTCTTTGTGGTAATCTGGGAATAAAAACAAAACAAAACACGTCTATCAATGTGTGTGTGTGCCACACTCATCAATATTCAACTTGTATGACGACCGTTTGTAAAATGAGTTTGGACTGCGATCAACTATCCAAGATGACATGCAATCAACCAAGTCCCCGTGCCTGGCCACCAGATCCATTAAGTCGCGTCTTACTGTAAAACCCGTTCACTGTAAAACTGTGTTGGAATGTAAACAGACAAACACACGTTTAGATCTAAACATGATATTTAGGAATGTGTATAAATTGTTTGTTGTTTAACGCCGCACTAGTCAATATTCCAGATATAATATGGCGATCTGTAAACAATCGAGTCTCGACCAGACCTCGACCTCGACCGGATTGACATCATGAGCACCGATCCACGCGATTGGCCTGACCACCCGATCCCCTTAGTCACCTCTTGTAAGTATAGGTTGCTGAATCCATTTCAATCCGGATCTTCCCTAGCAACCACATGAGTCACATAACTACTGACATCTGCCGCCGTGAGGATGCATAAAGTGCTTGCCCACCAAGAACTACACCGAAGGCGTTTCCTAAATCTGTCTCTTCTACTGTACGGTTATACGGTAATGGGGAGAGATGTTCCGAGGAACCGGGCAGAGAATAGGTCTAACCCATGCTTGCTGTAAGAGGCGACTAACGGGATCGGGTGGTCAAGCTCGCTGACTTGTTTGATGCATGTCATGGATCCCAATTGCATGGATCGATGCTCATGATATTAATCACTGGTTTGTCTTGTCCAGACTCGATTATTTACAGACCGCCGTCATATAGCTGGGATATTGTTGAGTGCGGCGTTAAACAAAAAAATAAATAAATAAACAAAACAAAAAATAATAAAATGGTTGATGCATGTCATCGTATCCCAATGTTGCTTAGATCGAAGCTTAAGTTGTCAGTCACTGGATTTTCTGGTAAAGACTCATTGTGTACAGACCGCCGTCAGGATATCTTCGTGCAGCGTTAAACGACAAACAAAATATTGTCTCGCCATAATGGGCCATATCTTGCTCCTAAGTGAGTGAGTGAGTATGGTTTTACGCCGCTTTTAGCAATATTCCAGCAATATCACGGCGGGGGACACCAGGAATGGGCTTCACACATTGTACCCATGTCAGGAATCGAACCTGGGTCTTCGGCTTGACGAGCGAACGCTTTAACCACTAGGCTACCCGACCGCCCCCTTGCTCCTAAGAGAAACTTTCGTCGCAGATTAAATTCAGTTTCGACTTTCAAAGGCACTGCGTGTACTCACCGTTCCATGTGCTGTTGTGCTCTGCCTAGTCTCGTGGTGGTTGCAGTACGACGAAGAGGCCATATGGCGCCATGCAGCACACACGCCGGGCACTGTACAAATGCGTATTTGTCAATTTACCTTATCTATCACAGCTGTCGATGTTATACCTGCAGGTACGACCCGTGAAGATCCGGGGCAGAATGGGTCTTCAGCAACCCATGCTTGCCGTGAAAGGCGAGTTTGCTTGTCGTAAAAGGTAACAAACGGGATCGGGTCGTCAGGCTCGCTGACTTGGTTGATACATGTCAGCGATCCCAATTGCGCCGTTGCAAACTATATTTACAAGAGGCGACTAAGGGGATCGGGTGGTCAGGCTCGCTGACTTGGTTGATACATGTCAGCGATCCCAACTGCGCCATTGCAACCTATACTTACAAGAGACGACTAACGGGATCGGGTGGTCAGGCAAATTGCGTGGATCGATGCTCATGATGTCAATCACTGGATTGTCTGGTCCAGACTCGATTGTTTACAGACCGCCATCATATAGCTGGAATATTGCCGAGTGCGGCGTTTAACAACAAACAAACAATTTAAACACATTCCTAAATATGTTTAGATCTAAACATGTCTTTGTCTGTGTTTACATTCCAACAAGTTTTACAGTGTACGGGTTTTACAGTAAGACGCGACTTATGGATCTCAGGCTCGCTGACTTGGTTGATGCATGTCATCGAATCCCAACTGCGAGGATCGATGCTCATCATATTAATCACTGGGTTGTCTGGTCCAGACTCGATTATTTACAGACCGCCGTCATATAGCTGGAATATTGTTCAGTGCAGCGTTAAACAACAAACCAACAACAAACCAACAACAACCTGCAGGTACATTTTACTAAATATAAACTGTTTTTGAATAATGTTGAGCTACACATATGATCTGGGTTCACAGCATATTTCATTTTCGTAATGGACAGTCGAAGCCAGTATGAAAAATATTTTACTGTCATTACGCTTTAGAGACGTCTGTCCCTGAAGTTTGCAGCGTGTCGAAATGTCAGTCATTGTGAACTTTCTCGACATAACTTCAATCTCATCTTTGATAAAATCAAGATTTGTAGATATTTATACAACGTTGTGGAATTAATGAAAATATGTATTGCGACAGATGGTCTCTTGATGGTGTGTAGTCATTCCTTTATCTGAGAGATAGTAACTTGGCGTTACAAGATGCTATACCTGTGTCATCTTACACCCGACCCGTGAAGATCCGGGGTAGAATAGCTCTTCAGCAACCCATGCTTGCCGTAAATGGCTACTATGCTTGTAGAGGCGACTAACAGGATCGGTTGGTCAGGCTCGCTGACTTGGTTGATGCATGTCATCGTATCCCAGTTGCGTGCATCGATGCTCATGATGTCAGTCACTGGATTGTCGGTCCAGACTCAATTTTTTACAGACCACCGCCTGTTCAGCTTCGACCTGCTCTTTTCCACCTTACGTGGGTCGAGTGAGTTGCGCCAGTAACAGCGTTGAAGAATGCCAGAAAAGCAAACGTGGGTATCCGGTAGGTGTGTCTGGATGCGGATGACAGATGTCTCCATATCGAGAGGAGCTGGCTTGTCTTAATGGAGTTTAGGTCGTTAGAGCCCAGGTGTATCACCAGAGCTGAAGCGCTGCGCCGCGTTGCCTCCCCCTGAACATCTATGACCCACGAGATGACTACGTAATTTCCGAGGAAACGCGCGTGCAATGACGCAACGGAAGTAGGTGAAATTGTAAACATAAGATGATATTCCTGCCCTAAAAACATTTAGTCGCTGGTACTGAATTTAAATATTGTTTAAAAGATCTTGGAGCGATGCAACTTTGAAGTTTTGATCCCTTGTAATTGAAAAATCAATACAGTCAAGCAGGACATGCTCGACCGAAGACTCGGGTTTAAACCCCACATGGGGACCATTATTGAAGCCCATTTCTTGTGTGCCCCGCCGTGATATGACTAGCATAACGCGAAAACCGGCGTAAAACCACACTCACTCACTCACTACAATCGCCAGCAGCTGAAGGGATGGTGTAAATCCTGCTGGGGAGCCGTGCATGTAACGGAGGTATCGTAAATCACCACTGTCCCTAGTATGGTGATCTCATTTTGGTTGCTGACGATCCCGGCATGTTGTGACTCTGACCGTTGTAGCTACCGGATGTGACGCACTGGACGTTGGAGCTACAGGATGTGACTCACTGGACAATAATGGAAGCCAAAGGGTAGTCATACACTCACTCACTCACTCACTCACTCATTGGTGAGGTGAGGTGAAATGGGGCTTAACGTGTGTATGTGTCTGCTTCTACTAGTCCGGGCTAATGCGGATTTTGTAGTGCTAGCCCACTGAGATACAATGACGCAGACTAATAGGAATAGTGAGTGAGTGAGTGAGTGTGGTTTTACGCCGCTTTTAGCAATATTCCAGCCATATCACGGCGGGGGACACCAGAAATTAGCTTCACACATTGTACCCATGTCGGGAATCGAACCCGGGTCTTCGGCGTGACGAGCGAACGCTTTAACCACTAGGCTATCCGACCGCCCCACTAACTGGAATACCCCACTCAGACACAGTATATTGACTCCGAGCCTACTAGTACTAACCCACGACCTTCCTATCTCCGGGCGGACGCTCTACCACTAACCCACGGAGGCGGTCCACACACACACTGGATGAGAATCCTGAGAGAAGATACTTCTAAAGAAGGCAGCCACCACTCAAACCTCCTCGGAGAGGAAATCGTTCTGCCTCCAAGAAAATGTGGTCGTCGTCCAGTAGACTCAGTAGGCACTGTGGTCGCCACTAGGGACAGATACAGATGCACACATGCAGGCATAGAAAGAGGCACACGCGTTCGTCTTTTTACATTTTGGTTACATTTTTGTCTGACATTGAGTGAGTTTTATCTAACGGCCCTTGGAACAACTTTGGACGCCACATGCAGGACAATTTAATGTGGGAAGAAAGCCCGAAGCGGTGCAGGTCTTTGTCGATTACCACGAGTACGGCAATGGTTCCGACAAACCTAGTAACATGTCAAGTCGAATCTCGGATTTGAAAGCACGGCCATTGGGTGACGCAAGTCTGCACAGCGAATATGGGGCGCCTACTGGACCTACTCACGCTTGCCCCCAAGTCAGAATAGAGAACGCAGTAATGAACAATAAAAACAGAAAACAACATTATCTCACGCCAAAATGACTATTAAACGAACTTTAACTGTTGTTGTTTAACGCCGCACTCAGCAATATTCCAGCTATATGACGGCGGTCTATAAATAATCGAGTCTGGACCAGACAATCCAGTGATTGACATCCTGAGCATCGATCCATGCAATTAGGATACAACGACGTGCAATCGATCAAGTCAGCGGGCCTGACCGCCGGATCCATGGTGCTGTCTTTTACGACCAGCATGGGTTGCTAGCGACCTATATTCTTCCCCGGATTCCCCGCCGGTTCTAACTTATCTGTTAACCCATCACTGGTCCAGACACAAGGTTTTATATTTTTGGAAAATGTACTTAATACTATTCAAAATGTTGTCATCTAAACCTGGAGACAAAAAGCAGCAATCAGTTCCTCTCTAAGGATGAAAATAACTTCTATTTTTTTCAACACATCTTTCTGCGTATATTGTTGTAAGTTTTGCGTTGTTCTGGGGAAGTTTAAACATGCAGGGTGTGCCGTTTACCGGTATTTTGTGGAAAATAAACACAATTTCTGATGGCTGTACATTCAGTCTTGGAAACGTAATTGAAATAAGCAAAAGTGATATAATAACCTTTTGCAGTGTCATTGAACATGAAATTTCAATTATGTCGTCTGATCCGTAAATGGGTCTCCGAGTTCGGTCACTGTTAAATATTTTATTGTGGGTGGCTACTGACTCGCGGAATGAGAGTTACCTCCCATAGAAGCCAATCACAACCATCAGAAGATGAGTGCTTGATGAGAAGACCGACGCTTCGGGAGTAATTTTGAACGGGATATAAAAGTCAGTATTGTTTTATGTTTTTTAATATTTTGAAAATGATTTTATGGCAACATTATCTGTATTTTCTTGGCTATGATGTCAAACAGTAGACATCGTAGAAGAGTCAAAATGATCTGCATCCACCTGTCAACACATCATTATGATTTATGTCATTTGCTTATTATTAGAAGCTCACGGGTGTATTTCAAAACGTATAAGTAGGAAAGGTTTTCCGCCCGTAACCCGTATTAAAAAATGTGCACGAGATAAGGTAACCTAACCCTAGCCCTACATGATTATAAAATCAACAACCGAGGTTATGATTTCTTAACATCTGAGGCGAGGGTTTCGTTATATACCTAGCTGGGTATTATTAATAATTATAAATCTTTGTTTTAACATGGGGTTTATAACTGGTTTTGTGAACCTTCACATACCCAACTTTGAATCAGTGTCACAAGGATGCAACCTCGAATGACTTGTTTGTTTGGCTGTCCGTTGTGTATGTACATTTGTTGCCAGAACAAGTAATACAGGTTGGGCTGGGCCATACGTCTGTCCATGTGATTGAAAGAGACAACTCTACGTGACATACTCAAGATGTGGTCTTGTGTACTTGTTTTACATGTTAAGATGTTATTAGAATTCCCAAACAAACGTGATACAAGGACAAATGTATGCCATCATGACACAAGGGCTTGTAATGAAAAAAAATATAGCAGCTACACCTTACTGGCCTGTATGGACACGATCAGTGAGAGTATGATTTAAATGGATCTTTTTATATAGTCTGACACTGGTTATGACAATTCATCTTACCTCACACATGAATGTTTAATTCTGTTTGGCTGAGACCTATTTCATCATTTCCAATGTACCTCGCTAACATGTACGGTGCATTTCATATGTTCCCTGCTCGATTTGCCAGACAGATGGCATTACATATGCAACATAGCAACAGCAAGTTTGTATTTCTATTTAATGATATTCAACGCCATTCTTATGATATATATGATGATTTATTCAAGGTGAAATAGATCTAGAGGGAATAACTCTAAGTTCTTCAGTTTTCTGTCGTCTGCTATTTTTTGAAGTGGTTAAATGTCTAATTGTGCCGTTCTTACCTTTTTGGACAAGTTATGCATTATATATAATATATGCAGTATGCAATGTGTGTGTGTGTGTGTGTGTGTGTGTGTGTGTGTGTGTGTGTGTGTGTATGTAAGTAAAGACAACTGATTTTTTCAGGTGTATAAGCATAAAATATGAAAAAAACCGGAGTCCAGATATTAATGCTTGTCACAACTCCTTTATTGTGTTTATGCAAAAAATATCTTTCACCACTCAACAGCACTTAAGTTTTAATGTAAATATCAACGTAGTCATAGGTGACCCACAACAACAGTGTTTGTGTCATAATGCCTATGACATAATAGTTGGTGACAACAGAGTTAAACGTAATCATAGGCAATGACCAACTTAATGCCTTTAACGTTATAGGTGGTGACAATAGTGTGAGGCATAAATACATTGTCGTGTGAGTGCACAAATATACATAGAACTACATAGGCATGATAGGGAAGTTTTGAAAATTATACTTTTGAATACTTTTTGCTGAATTATTGCTGAGTGCATCGTTTAACATATTAAACAACGAACAAACAAAATAAAAAACTTTTCAAATGTCTATATATATATACCTAAAATATAATTTGGTGTGCAGTAAGATAAAGTTGTTGTCCATCGGTCTTGAGCATGTTGAGAGGGACAGAGGTTCATGTACCGTCTTATTTTATCAGCATGATCAGCAGTTTGTGTTCCTGAGTCCTAAGTTTCTTGTAGCTGCTAATTTTTGCGTTACAAGTCTCTGTGATTACGACCATGCTCCATTCTGACTTAGATGCTTCGAACTAGAGATGATTATTGCATTGAACATGTTGAGTGTAATGTTAAAGTACATTTTAACATGATTTATGAATATAAAAAATCATATCTTTTGCAAAATGCCAGTTAATATGACCAAGGGTATTTAGTTTGGATTCCAAGATCCTGCTCTACTAAGATGGCCCCTGACGATGCCCGAAGCCCATGAATAGTTCTTGTGTAGCATGTTGGGTGTTTTTAGCCTTGCATGATGTGTCATCTTTTGTTTCAGAGTTGTTGCAATCAAGGATGGAGCAGCTGAGCAATGAGCATGGTGGAGCAACAGAGACAGTGTCTCTCGGCCGACGAGATCAGGTATTCCCCCTACTGTAAAATGCCATAGTTCAGCATGAACAATGATGAATGGCTGCCAAACTGAACTGAACAGCAGCCACTGACTGATGTGGGGCTCGGGTGGCCCAGTCGTGTAACGCGCTTCAATTTGCTGTGCAGAATTGTATAATTGTGTGCTTGAATCTACTTTTGCTGACATGGTAAATAACTATTCTGTGTTCTGTTTCAGGGGGACGGAGCTCCAATTCCTGGTGAAGTGACCGTGGATGAATGTTCTGGCCCCGACAGTAATCCCAGACCGCCACACAAACCCTTCACCGTCCAGCTGGAGTGTGACATCATGCAGATCATCCTGACCGCTGCGTCCCTGGCTACCCGGACCTGGCAGCTGGGGCTACCCAGAGCTGTAGTGTAAGATGTGCTCATTTATACCTATTGGGATTACAGAGTAATAGTTTAAACAGTGGACCATTTAATCAGTAATATTAAGTTTTGTTGCCATTTTTGTTTGAGACTGAATATTTTCTCACAGTCAGTGCTTCAAGCGAGAATACATGAAATTCTAAAAAAGGGGGAGCCAACAAAGTTGATCCACAACACATTACTATTATTATTATGCCACAAAGTGAGATTGACCAATCAGAGAGCAGAACTACTAACCCCATATGCGCCCTGTAGCATCAGTATAAATCCAAGATGGTTGTTACTGACCTAATATGAGACCGTATACCGTCAGTAACAGCCATCTTGGATTTTCCAACACCCACCTCACATATTTCACATGAAAATTCTGGTACAGATATTTGCTATTCGACACTGTTTTATATCATTAGTTGTGATGTGAAAGGACATTAATTTTAAAAAAATCATTTCGTGACTTTATTGATAAGATTACAGTTAAAACTTTCAATAAGGTTTGGCCTTTAATGTTTGCAGAGTAGTCCCCCTTTGACACTTATTGTCAACGATTGTAAGTGTCTAGTTTTCATTTTGACATGATGTGTGCGATTAGGATACCAGATAGTTCGGCCTGATTAGGTGTCTAGGTTTGTCAGCACCATACCTGTGCTCATGGGTTTCACCGAAGTGGTAAACGTCTGCGACCTGCAACACTTTGGGCTTTCCTCCCACATTAAGCTGACACGCCGTGATATAACTGGAATACTGTTAAAAGCGGCGTTAAACCCAAATCGCTCACTCATTGTGTTTGTAGAACCGATCCAAGCTGAGGACTACACCGCATGACCTGCCTGACTGTGTATCTTCATTATTCATGCCCCTATGACGTGAATCACTGTTCTGTGTTCATTCTATCAACCACTGGTTTGTCTGGACTGGTCTGATGTATTTACATGATGCTATAATATACATGATATAGATGAAATGTTGCCGACATGGCATAAAACAACATACACTTATTCACTCATTTATAACAATGATTTAAAAAATATCCTTTTCTTCAAAATAATGATTTGATGGTGGTTTGTTTTCAGATTTGATGAATTGCATTTTGCCAAGTTTGTGTCCCTGTTTCTGAGGAATGTGTTCTTCTTTGACATCCACCCTCCACTGGGGAAGATGCTCCTCGCTGCTGCAGGTAACTCGAGACTAGATTGGTGGATTAGTCTTCGTACTGTGTCAAATAGAACTGTATCTTTTTTTTATGTTATAAATTTTGGTGATATACACCATTGAGTATTATATCCACTTATAAACAATAATACTAGATAAAATGTTTATATATAAGATATGATATCTAAATGTTAGGTGCTGTGTTTCACAAATAAATCAAAACGATGTATTTACTTTATGCTTAGATTTGTTTTGCAGTGCTTACATTATGACATAGTCTGATAATGTCATCAAATGCTTTGCTTTTATTTTCAGGAAGTTACTCGGGATTTGAAGGCAATGTCAGCTTTGATAGAATTGGATCAGGTATTGACTGCAATGTTCAATTTAGTGGGGAGTCTGGGCTGTAACAGATCCTAGCTGTCTGTTTGTTTTAACAGATCCCAGCTTTCTGTTTGTTTTAACAGATCCCAGCTGTCTGTCTGTTGTAACAGATCCTCAGCTGTCTGTTTGTTGTAACAGGTCCTCAGCTGTCTGTTGTAACAGGTCCCCAGCTGTCTGTTTGTTGTAACAGATCCCAGCTGTCTGCTTGTTGTAACAGGTCCCCAGCTGTCTTCTTGTTGTAACAGGTCGCCAGCTGTCTTCTTGTTGTAACAGGTCGCCATACGACCATACGCTAACGACAGTTGTAGCGCTAAGATGATCGTAACTCCCATACTTTAACATAGGCTTACAACAGTTGTAGCGCTAAGATGATCGTAACTCCCATACTTTCACAAAGGCTTACGACAGTTGTAGCACTAAGATGATCATAACTCCCATATTTGAACATAGGCTTACGACAGTTGTAGTTCTAAGATGATCGTAACTCCCATACTTTAACATAGGATTACGACAATTGTAGTGCTAAGATGATCGTAACTCCCATACTTTAACATAGGCTTACGACAGTTGTAGTTCTAAGACAATCGTAACTCCCATACTTTAACATAGGATTACAACAGTTGTAGCGCTAAGATGAACATAACTCCCATACTTTAACATAGGCTTACGACAGTTGTAGTGCTAAGATGAACATAACTCCCATACTTTAACATAGGCTTACGACAGTTGTAGTTCTAAGACGATCGTAACTCCCATACTTTAACATAGGCTTACGACAGTTGTAGAGCTAAGATGATCGTAACTCCCATACTTTAACATAGACCTACGACAGTTGTAGCGCTAAGATGATCATAACTCCCATATTTGAACATAGGCTTACAGAAGTTGTAGTTCTAAAACGATCGTAATTTCCATACTTTCACATAGGCTTACGACAGTTGTAGCTAAGACGATCGTAACTCCCTTACTTTAACATAGGATTACAACAGTTGTAGTACTAAAACGATCGTAACTCCCATACTTTCACATAGGCTTACGACAGTTGTAGCGCTAAGATGATCGTAACTCCCATACTTTCACATAGGCTTACGACAGTTGTAGTGCAAAGATGATCGTAACTCCCATACTTTAACATAGACCTACGACAGTTGTAGCGCTAAGATGATCATAACTCCCATATTTGAACATAGGCTTACGACAGTTGTAGCGCTAAGATGATCGTAACTCCCATACTTTAACATAGGCTTACGACAGTTGTAGAGCTAAGATGATCGTAACTCCCATGCTTTAACATAGGATTACAACAGTTGTAGTTCTAAAACGATCGTAACTCCCATACTTTCACATAGGCTTACGACAGTTGTAGTGCTAAGATGATCGTAACTCCCATACTTTCACATAGGCTTACGACAGTTGTAGTGCAAAGATGATCGTAACTCCCATACTTTAACATAGGCTTACGACAGTTGTAGTTCTAAGACGATCGTAACTCCCATATTTGAACATAGACTTACAACAGTTGTAGCGCTAAGATGATCGTAACTCCCATACTTTCACAAAGGCTTACGACAGTTGTAGGGCTAAGATGATCATAACTCCCATATTTGAACAAATGGCTTACGACAGTTGTAGCGCTAAGATGATCGTAACTACCATACTTTAACATAGGCTTACGACAATTGTAGTGCTAAGATGATCGTAACTCCCATACTTTCACATAGGCTTACGACAGTTGTAGCGCTAAGATGATCATAACTCCAATATTTGAACATAGGCTCACAACAGTTGTAGTTCTAAAACGATCGTAACTCCCATACTTTCACATAGGCTTACGACAGTTGTAGCGCTAAGATGATCGTAACTCCCATACTTTAACAAAGGATTACGACAGTTGTAGTGCAAAGGTGATCGTAACTCCCATACTTTCACATAGGCTTACGACAGTTGTAGTGCAAAGATGATCGTAACTCCCATACTTTAACATAGACCTACGACAGTTGTAGCGCTAAGATGATCATAACTCCCATATTTGAACATAGGCTTACGACAGTTGTAGCGCTAAGATGATCGAAACTCCCATACTTTAACATAGGCTTACGACAGTTGTAGCGCTAAGATGATCGTAACTCCCATACTTTAACATAGGCTTACAACAGTTGTAGTTCTAAAACGATCGTAACTCCCATACTTTCACATAGGCTTACGACAGTTGTAGCGCTAAGATGATCGTAACTCCCATACTTTCACATAGGCCTAAGACAGTTGTAGTGCAAAGATGATCGTAACTCCCATACTTTAACATAGACCTACGACAGTTGTAGCGCTAAGATGATCATAACTCCCATATTTGAACATAGGCTTACGACAGTTGTAGCGCTAAGATGATCGTAACTCCCATACTTTAACATAGGCTTACGACAGTTGTAGAGCTAAGATGATCGTAACTGCCATACTTTAACATAGGCTTACGACAGTTGTAGTTCTAAGATGATCATAACTCCCATACTTTAACATAGGCTTGCGACAGTTGTAGTGCTAAGACAATCGTAACTCCCATACTTTAACATAGGCTTACAACAGTTGTAGCGCTAAAATTGCTTTGTGGAATGGGGACATGATAACTCATGAGACATTGGTTCGGATCAGTGAACCTTGGGGATGTTACCCTTAAGGCGGGGGTCACAATCTGAAAAGGTTGTGAGTAGGGCTGGGTGGGTGGGTACTGAGTAGGACCTGGGCACCCACAGGCCTACCTGGACCTGAGGTTAGTCACGTGATATATTGTTTTACGACAAAATTTCACTATATAACTACATGGTTACACAACGTTTTTAAGTCTCTAATGTTAGCATTTTTTCAAGACTTATATATGTTTGAACAAAGCTAAAACTTCAGTCAACTCTAGTGTGTACATGACTACATTGTTTTATACGTGAAACTAGATACATTTTGCCAGGGCTACTGTCAAACTATTCTCAATCAGACATTTTGTACCTATCTCTTGACACCAACAGCAGGTACCCGGGTAGGGTCGGGTAATAGGGGTGTGGGTACCTGGGTAGTAAATTTGGACTCATCCCAGCCCTAGTTGTGAGTGACCTACATGGTCACAGTGAAGGTCATTCATAAATGTTTTACTGAAAGTACTTTTCCTGCTGATATCTTAATTCATTCATTATTTCCTTCACTGTAAGTATCAACTGGTTGTTTTATATGTGTCTGTATCCCGCTGAGTGTGTTGTAGTTCATGTCATGTTTGTTTCCAGAATACCCTGCCAATGTTCCTGTGGTGCAGCTACGTCTCATTCCGGCTGTACTCGGCAGTCTCATCGTGCCGCTCATGTACCAGATAGCTGTAGAACTGGGTCTGTCTCGCTGGGCCGCTCTGCTAGCCGGTGCCTTCGTGCTTCTGGGTAAGTTAGCGTCTTGATACCGACAGTGTGTTACAACAGATAGGTGTAGCTCTCAATCCCAGCTAGTGTGGTCGGTCCCAGTTAGCATGGTCAGTCCCGGTTAGTGTGGTCCTTCCCAGTGTGTGTGGTCCGTCTCAGTTAGCATGGTCCGTCCTGGTTGGTATGGTCCGTCTTGTTTAGTGTGGTCCGTCCCAGTTAGTATGGTCCATCCCAGTTAGCATGGACGTCCCAGTTAGTGTAGTCCATCCCAGCTAGTGTGGTCCGTCTCAGTTAGCATGGTCTGTCCTGGTTAGCATGGTCCGTCCGAGTTAGTGTAGTCCATCCCAGTTAGTGTAGTCCATCCCAGTTAGCATCGTCCGTCCCAGCTAGTATGGTCCATCCCAGTTAGCATGGTCCATCCCAGTTAGCATGGTCCGTCCCAGTTAGTGTGGTCCATCCCAGCTAGTGTGGTCCGTTTCAGTTAGCATGGTCCGTCCCAGTTAGTGTGGTCCGTCCCAGTTAGCATGGTTCGTCCCAGTTAGCATGGTCCGTCCCAGTAAGCATGGTCCGTCCCAGTTGGCATGGTCCATCTTGGTTAGTGTGGTCTGTCTCAGTTAGCTTGACCGTCCCAGTTAGCATGGTCCGTCTCAGTTAGCATGGTCCGTTCTGGTTAGTGTGGTCCGTCTCAGTTAGCATGGTCCGTCCTGGTTAGCATGGTCCGTCCTGGTTGGTATGGTCCGTCTTGTTTAGTGTGGTCCTTCCTGGTTAGCATGGTCCATCCTGGTTAGCATGGTCCTTCCCAGTTAGTGTGGTCCATCCCAGTTCATAAATGTCTCGGGTCATTTTTCCTAAAAGTACTTTTCCTGCTGATATCTTAATTCATTCATTATTTCCTTCACTGTAAGTATCAAGAACTGGTTGTTTTATATGTGTCTGTATCCCGCTGAGTGTGTTGTAGTTCATGTCATGTTGTATGTTGTGTGGTCCATCCCAGTTAGCTTGGTCCATCCCAGTTAGCATGGTCCGTTCTGGTGAGTGTGGTCCGTCTCAGTTAGCATGGTCCGTCCTGGTTAGCATGCTCCGTCCCAGTTAGTGTGCTCGGTCCCAGTTAGCATGGTCCATCCTGGTTAGCATGGTCCGTCCTGGTTAGCATGGTCCTTCCCAGTTAGTGTGGTCCATCCCAGTTAGCTTGGTCCGTCCCAGTTAGTGTGGTCCTTCCCAGTTAGTGTGGTCCTTCCCAGTTAGCATGGTCCGTCCCAGTTAGTGTGGTCCGTCCCAGTTGGTATGGTCCATCCTGGTTAGCATGGTCCATCTTGGTTAGCATGGTCTGTCCCAGTGAGTGTGGTCTGTCCCAGTTAGCATGGTCCGTCCCAGGGAGTGTGGTCCGTCCCAGTTAGCATGGTCCGTCCCAGTTAGTGTGGTCCGTCCCAGTTGGTATGGTCCGTTCCTGCTAGTGTGGTCCGTCTCAGTTAGCATGGTCAGTCCCAGTTAGCATGGTCCGTCCCAGTTAGCATGGTCGGTCCCAGTTAGCATGGTCCGTCCCAGTGAGTGTGGTCCGTCCCAGTAAGTATGGTCCGTCCCAGTGAGTGTGGTCTGTCTCAGTTAGCATGGTCCGTCCTAGTTGGCATGGTCCGTCCCAGTGGGCATGGTCCGTCCCAGTTAGCATGGTCCGTTCTAGCTAGTGGGGTCTGTCTCAGTTAGCATGGTCCGTCCCAGTTGGCATGGTCCGTCCCAGTTGGCATGGTCCGTCCCAGTTGGTGTGGTCGGTCCCAGTTGGCATGGTCCATTCCAGCTAGTGTGGTCTGTCCCAGTTGGCATGGTCCGTCCCAGTTGGTGTGGTCTGTCCCAGTTGGCATGGTCCATTCCAGCTAGTGTGGTCTGTCCCAGTTGGCATGGTCCATTCCAGCTAGTGTGGTCTGTCCCAGTTGGCATGGTCCGTCCCAGTTGGTGTGGTCGGTCCCAGTTGGCATGGTCCGTCCCAGTTAGTGTGGTCGGTCCCAGTTGGCATGGTCCGTCCCAGTGAGTGTGGTCGGTCCCAGTTGGCATGGTCCGTCCCAGTGAGTGTGGTCGGTCCCAGTTAGTGTGGTCCGACCAAGTTACCATGGTTTTCTTTTAATTAGTATTCGAAAATTTTTTGTATAAAAAATATGACTCAGTAGTATTTGTAGAAATCACATTACCCTGATGAGAAATCTCATCAATTCTGGCACATCAGGGATTTCCTTCCAAATTCACATGATACAGACTGAGGACTACATCATACCAGATTGTTCTGCCATAGAGTTTAAGGCTAGGTTCGTCTCACTGGGCCGCTCTGCTAGCATGTAGGAGGTGCATTTGATCATGTGATCAGGGCCAACATGTCCAAGTGTGTCAAGCCCATTCCCTGTTGGGATGTGACGTCATTGCTAAAACAGCTGAAGCTTTAGTCACAAGATAGCTACCATTAATTTGCTGGAAGTGAATTCTTCAGTTTATGTTTTCAGGTAATATTCTTCCATGGTTTGATGGTGCCAACAATTTGCACCTTGATTATGGAAAGGGATGTAAGAGGTCAATGGCCATAAAGGGTAAAATTACGATTGAATGTCGAGCAGAGAACAGTTGTTAATGCTGTCTTGAGATGATTTCTTTCGAAAGCCATTTTGTCAGAATTGTGTAATATCTATCTCTTTGACTGATCTTATTTGTGTGATAAATGTGCATATAAAACCGAGGTAGTATATTTGTATTAATGTTTGTGTTTAGATTTTGACAGTTATTTATGCCTGTAATACTCAGTTTGACTCAAACAATTTATTGTAAATAAGTTCAAGATGAGATCTGTATGTAGCGTTTTTAAAGTCAGTTGTATTCGTTCAGACAATGCCCTCCTGGTTCAGTCGAGGTTCATGCTGATGGAGGGGATGCTCATCTTCTTCTCCTGTCTCGCCGTGCTCAGCTACCTCAAGTTCAGGAACCTCGCTCACAGGTGGGTACTGATGCAGGTGGGTACAGACAGACAGATGGGTACTGACACAGGTGGGTACTGATGCAGGTGGGTACTGACACAAGTGGGTACAGGTGGGTACAGACAGATGGGTACTGACACAGGTGGGTACTGACACAGGTGGGTACTGATGCAGGTGGGTACTGACACAAGTGGGTACAGACGCAGGTGGGTACTGACCTAGGTGGGTACTGATGCAGGTGGGTACAGACGCAGGTGGGTACAGACGCAGGTGGGTACTTACCTAGGTGGGTACTGATGCAGGTGGGTACTGACACAGGTGGGTACTGATGCAGGTGGGTACAGGCGCAGGTGGGTACTGACATAGGTGGGTACAGACATAGGTGGGTACTGACACAGGTGGGTACTGACACAGGTGGATACTGACACAGGTGGGTACAGACACAGTTGGGTACTGACACAGGTGGGTACAGACATAGGTGGGTACTGACACAGGTGGGTACTGACACAGGTGGGTACAGACATAGGTGGGTACTGACATAGGTGGGTACTGACACAGGTGGGTACAGACATAGGTGGGTACAGACACAGGTGGGTACAGACATAGGTGGGTACTGACATAGGTGGGTACTGACACAGTTGGGTACAGACATAGGTGGGTACTGATGCAGGTGGGTACAGACACAGGTGGGTACTGACACAGGTGGGTACAGACACAGGTGGGTACTGATGCAGGTGGGTACTGATGCAGGTGGGTACTGATGCAGGTGGGTACTGATGCAGGTGGGTACAGACACAGGTGGGTACAGACACAGGTGGGTACAGACATAGGTGGGTACTCATGCAGGTGGGTACAGGCGCAGGTGGGTACAGACATAGGTGGGTACTGACACAGGTGGGTACTGACACAGGTGGGTACTGACACAGGTGGGTACAGACACAGGTGGGTACTGACACAGGTGGGTACTGACACAGGTGGGTACTGACACATGTGGGTACTGGCACAGGTGGGTACAGACACAGGTGGGTACAGACATAGGAGGGTACAGACACAGGTGGGTACTAATGCAGGTGGGTACAGACATAGGTGGGTACTGATGCAGGTGGGTACAGACACAGGTGGGTACTGACACAGGTGGGTATCGAGGCCATTTTAACCATTGCATTAACTTAGTAATCATGGTAATAATACTACTACGAGGTATATTTCACATAAAAAAGAATGGTTAAGTAAATGATTAACAGTTGCAATTTCTTGCATTTTAGATCTCTATAGATACAGTTGATACTGTGGCATTGCTTTGATGTCAACTACTGGTGTGTCATCTTGTCACTGATGTACTGATCAGTTGCCTCTATCTGTGAGTACATGCCTATTGTCTGTATTTCAGGGAGTTCAGTGTACAGTGGTGGTGGTGGCTCTGTGTGTGTGGACTGGCCCTCACCTGCACCTTCAGGTGAGTCACTGAGTGAGACAGATGGACAGACAGTGAGACAGACAGACAGTGTGTCCGACAGACAGACAGACAGTGGGGTGGGCAGACAGTGAGACAGACAGTGAGATGGACAGACAGACAGACAGTGAGATGGACAGACAGACAGACAGACAGACAGACAGACAGTGAGATGGACAGACAGACAGTGGGGTCGACAGACAGTGAGACAGACAGACAGTGAGATGTACAGACAGACAGTGGGGTGGACAGACAGACAGACAGACAGTGAGACAGACAGACAGTGAGATGGACAGACAGTGAGACGGACAGACAGTGAGATGGACAGACAGTGAGATCGACAAACAGTGATACCATCAGACAGACGGACAGCGAGACAGACAGACAGACAGTGAGACACCAAAAGAAGAAAAAAAGCTGATTTTCTATTTCCTTTCACATTTTTAAATTTTGGATTTAAGGATCCAGTAACCATGGTAACCAAGTACTTAAGAGTAAAACCCCTGTTTCAGCATCAAGTATGTGGGTTTCTTCACATCGGTGCTTGTGTTGTTTCACATCTTCAAGGACTACTGGAATATGCTGGCAGAAACTTCCAGGACAGAGGTAAGGTCAATTACAAGACTTGTCCCTGTACTAGTGTTCAGGATAGCAGTACCTGATACCCTGGACGTGTCATACCAAAGACATTACAAGATGGACTGTTCAGTTCGGAGTCAGTATGCTGCGTCTGAGTGGCATATCCATGTTAAAACTGTGGCATGGTATTTCAGTGGTCTAGCACTTTAAAACGGCTATGCTCATCTTGAACACAACGTTAAACCCTCACCTCGCCTCGCCTCGCCTCGCCTCGCCTCGCCTCCCCTCGCCTCGCCTCGCCTCGCCTCGCCTCGCCTCACCTCACCTCACCTCACCTCACCTCACCTCACCTCACCTCACCTCACCTCACCTCACCTCACCTCACCTCACCTCACCTCACCTCACCTCACCCATGTATCTTCATGTGAATCCCATCCGTTTGCAGTTACTGTGCACAGATGCTTTGAACAGTTTCTTAAAAGAAATGAAATAAAATCGTCGGGTCATAGGTTTTCAGACATCTTACTTTTACAGACGTTCATATTTATCGTGATTACTCTACTATAACAAGGGGTGTGGCGTCATACATACATCGTAAATACTCAGATGATGGCCTGTTTTTAAGATAAAGTCATCTTTTATAAATGAGTGAGATGTTTTACATTTGTTCTTGTGATTAGCAAGTAAACTATGAATGTTTCTTAAGCCTCTGAAAACCCATAACACAGGGATATATATAAGAGCCCCCTGGCTCACAGTTTGGAAAATTTAAAATCAATTAATTTATTGTGGCCTTCTGCAAAATAACACAAGCCATACCCTGATAGCTGAACAGTTTAGCTAAAATAACAATCACATTTGTTCCAGAAGCAGAGCGACATTGGAGGAAACAGTAAACTGAATGGAGTTTTAGATGCCTTGAAGTTTGGTGCATTGTACAAGGGGTTAAGATCTTCCATTGATTTTATCATCAGTCTACACGACGCTTCTGTTTTATTCAGATTTCTCTAACAAAGCACCTGATTGCCAGAGTGCTATTAGTCATGGCCGTCCCTGTTGCTGCGTACATCGCCATGTTCTACTACCATCTCTCCTCCCTCACCAAGGCGGGGCCTCACGACAACATCATGACAAGTGCATTCCAAGCCAGCCTGGAGGTGAGGTGTCTGTTTGTTTTCATCTTAGCACTTGTGACACTTGCCACTATCCCACAAACAGCCCCATTGGGTGTAGATGCCATATGACAGTGTATAAAATACCAACAACGGCATTGACTTTATTATTTACATTCAGAACAGGACATTTTAGTTTGTTTTCAAGGTACAGAAATCAGGTATGCTTGTCTGAATATGTTTCCCACCTTTACTGAGAATTTAGAACACATATGAAGGCATCAGATCTTCAGAGAGAGGTTTTGAATGGGAGTAAAAGATCTGGTTTTAATGAGATTGCGTTCTTTTCATCAGTTCTGTAAATGTTTTCTCGCAAATCAAGTCATGTATTATTCTTCCCATTATATTTTCAGGGAGGTTTGGCAACACTTACAAAGGGACAACCTCTCTATGTGGCGTACGGCTCCCAGATCACGCTTCGTCACACGCATGATACCGTGCCGGGTCGACCATGTTGGCTACACTCTCACCAGACTGTTTATCCAATCAAGTATCCCGACCAGCGAGGCAGCAGCCACCAGCAGCAGGTCACATGTTATATATTCAAGGACGTCAACAACTGGTGGATCGTTAAGCATCCCGACAGGTGGGTTACGCTTATAGAGGGTCTTTGACTATTTCATGGAGCGAAAGGTGGGTGGTTCGACCCCACATGCATCATACAAAAAGACTTAATACTGCCCACCCTGGATTGAATCAATGTTCATGTGGACAGTGGTCATGATTGATGGATGAAATAACAGACACCCATAATTGCTGTTGATGCGCTGTAGGTACAATGAATGTTTTTGTGTGTCCCTCGGGATGTGAAACGTGATGTTAAGCCCTATGTCATCTCACCTCATGATGTACTTATGATGCACCATGGTTAATACATTGCTACACTAATCCACTAAAACCTGTGTTCCTGTTGTAGAGACAGCCTGGTAGTGGACGAGAAGCCGCAGTCGGTGAAACATGGCGACATTGTACAGCTGGTGCACGGCATGTCCAGCAGGGCACTCAACAGGTGACTGTATTTTGTCAACATTTGGAATAATTTTTTTCATTTGAAATTTACACGATATATACAGCTTTTCCATTGGACAAGAGGTCAGTCACATGACGGTGGAATATTAAGAAAACAGGATGCAGTTGTCTGGCAATAATTTTCAAATTTAGTGCTTGCAGGCATTCAGATTTAGCAAAGCACAAAAAACCTTCAGTGCTGGAAGTTAACACTATCGGTAATCACTTGTGGAATAATGTGTGTAATGATGCTGTTCTGCCTGCAGTCATGATGTTGCGGCCCCCGTGACGCCCCAGAACCAGGAGGTGTCCTGCTACATCGACTACAACGTCTCCATGCCAGCCCAGAACCTCTGGAGAGTAGTAAGTGGACAGTTTTTGTTTTTTGTTACAGATTCTATCAAACAGCCAAAAACACTAATCAGAACTTAGAATAAAATTTAAACTACATTATTGTATTTATCTTGAATACTCCATATTTTTGAAATTATCCTGTCTCACATCCTATTCGGAAATGTTCGTGTACAAAATTTCCAGATTCTAAAACATAATTCACCCAAAGGCAGGCAGGGTAACAACAAGTACTATTTTGTTATCTATTTTGGTATGATGTGCCGGGGGATTGAACCCCTGACCTCCCCCCTCTGGGCAGACAATCTATCCACTAGACCATGGAGGAGGTCCTTATTCACTGTTAACATTTTAAAAGCCTTAAACCTAGGGATGCCATCTTTAAGAATCTGCTTCGAAGAAACGAAGGATATGATGTGCAGCAATACAATCAGATTTGTTCAATACTGTAACCAAAAAAATCAGAAATAATTCAGATTATAAAATATTTTCGCAGCTTTACCCCGGAAACTGATAGAGCCATATAATCATGATAATAGGACTTTGTTCATGGGCATGGAATTGAAAAGTTTAGTTCTTTTTAACAATTTAAGAAAAACAAAATTGTGAACATTTTGAACAACTTTCTTCTTGGAAACCACAAAGTCTAGTGGTCTTGAACATTGATGTGATGTGACGCAACATCATTTGATTCAGATATGTTCATGCTAGTCACATGAAAAAAGATGCTTTCTTCAAAAAAGAGAAGTACAAAATTGAAATGAAATTCAACCCTAAAAAATTGAAAGGAACCCTCTTTTTAAAGAAGACCCCAAAACAAAAGTAAAAAATCTGACAGAAATTAATATTTTAAAGAAATTTTAAAACATCGTCTTCTCAGAAACAAGAAGACTGAAAGAGCGACAACATTTATGAATGTTTGTAGGCTATGTAGATGTAAGGAATTCACAGTAGGACAACCAGTGAGACACCATTTCATCCATTATTGCAGGACATCACAAACAAGGAGGGAAGTGACGACAACTGGCAGACCATCAAGAGCCAAGTACGCCTCATCCATGTCAACACAACCACAGCTCTCAAGGTAAGGACAGCTACAAGCACAGCTCTCAAGGTAAGGACAGCTACAACACACAGGTGTCAAGATAAGGACAGCTACATCACAGAGGTGTCAAGGTAAGGACAGCTACAACACAGGTGTCAGGGTAAGGATAGCTACAACACAGGTGTCAAGGTAAGGACAGCTACAACACACAGGTGTCAAGGTAAGGGTAGGTACAACACACAGGTGTCAAGGTAAGGACAGCTACAACACACAGGTGTCAAGGTAAGGACAGCTACAACACAAAGGGGTTAAGGTAAGGACAGCTACAACACACAGGTGTTAAGGTAAGGGCAGCTACAACACACAGGTGTTAAGGTAAGGGCAGCTACAACACACAGGTGTCAAGGTAAGGGTAGGTACAACACACAGGTGTCAAGGTAAGGACAGCTACAACACACAGGTGTCAAGGTAAGGACAGTTACAACACACAGGTGTCAAGGTAAGGGCAGCTACAACACACAGGTGTCAAGGTAAGGGTAGGTACAACACACAGGTGTCAAGGTAAGGGCAGCTACAACACACAGGTGTCAAGGTAAGGGCAGCTACAACACACAGGTGTTAAGGTAAGGGCAGCTACAACACACAGGTGTCAAGGTAAGGGCAGCTACAACACACAGGTGTCAAGGTAAGGGCAGCTACAACACACAGGTGTCAAGGTAAGGGCAGCTACAACACACAGGTGTCAAGGTAAGGGCAGCTACAACACACAGGTGTCAAGGTAAGGACAGGTACAACACACAGGTGTCAAGGTAAGGGCAGCTACAACACACAGGTGTCAAGATAAGGGCAGCTACAACACACACGTGTCAAGGCAAGGACAGGTACAACACACAGGTGTTAAGGTAAGGACAGCTACAACACACAGGTGTTAAGGTAAGGGCAGCTACAACACACAGGTGTCAAGGTAAGGGTAGGTACAACACACAGGTGTCAAGGTAAGGACAGCTACAACACACAGGTGTCAAGGTAAGGACAGTTACAACACACAGGTGTCAAGGTAAGGGTAGGTACAACACACAGGTGTCAAGGTAAGGGCAGCTACAACACACAGGTGTTAAGGTGAGGACAGCTACAACACACAGGTGTCAAGGTAAGGACAGTTACAACACACAGGTGTCAAGGTAAGGGCAGCTACAACACACAGGTGTTAAGGTAAGGGCAGCTACAACACACAGGTATAAGGGTAAGGACAGCTACAACACACAGGTATAAGGGTAAGGACATCTACAACACACAGCTCTCAAGGTAAGGACAGCTACAACACACAGCTCTCAAGGTAAGGACAGCTACAACACACAGGTATAAGGGTAAGGACAGCTACAACACACAGGTATAAGGGTAAGGACAGCTACAACACACAAGTATAAGGGTAAGGACAGCTACAACACACAGCTCTCAAGGTAAGGACAGCTACAACACACAGGTATAAGGGTAAGGACAGCTACAACGCACAGCTCTCAAGGTAAGGACAGCTACAACACACAGGTATAAGGGTAAGGACAGCTACAACACACAGGTATAAGGGTAAGGACAGCTACAACACACAAGTATAAGGGTAAGGACAGCTACAACACACAAGTATAAGGGTAAGGACATCTACAACACACAAGTATAAGGGTAAGGACATCTACAACACACAAGTATAAGGGTAAGGACAGCTACAAAACACAGGTATAAGGGTAAGGACAGCTACAACACACAGGTATAAGGGTAAGGACAGCTACAACACACAGGTATAAGGGTAAGGACAGCTACAACACACAGGTATAAGGGTAAGGACAGCTACAACAAACAGCTCTCAAGGTAAGGACAGCTAAAACACAGGTATAAGGGTAAGGATAGCTACAACACACAGCTCTCAAGGTAAGGACAGCTACAACACACAGCTCTCAAGGTAAGGACAGCTACAACACACAGGTATAAGGGTAAGGACAGCTACAACACACAGGTATAAGGGTAAGGACAGCTACAACACACAAGTATAAGGGTAAGGACAGCTACAACACACAAGTATAAGGGTAAGGACATCTACAACACACAAGTATAAGGGTAAGGACATCTACAACACACAAGTATAAGGGTAAGGACAGCTACAAAACACAGGTATAAGGGTAAGGACAGCTACAAAACACAGGTATAAGGGTAAGGACAGCTACAACACACAGGTATAAGGGTAAGGACAGCTACAACACACAGGTATAAGGGTAAGGACAGCTACAACAAACAGCTCTCAAGGTAAGGACAGCTAAAACACAGGTATAAGGGTAAGGATAGCTACAACACACAGGTGTCAAGGTAAGGACAGTTACAACACACAGGTGTCAAGGTAAGGGCAGGTACAACACAGGTGTCACAGTAAGGACAGTTACAACACACAGGTGTCAAGGTAAGGGCAGCTACAACACACAGATGTCAAGGTAAGGGCAGGTACAACACACAGGTGTCAAGGTAAGGACAGGTACAACACACAGGTGTCAAGGTAAGGGCAGCTACAACACACAGGTGTCAAGGTAAGGACAGCTACAACACACAGGTATAAGGGTAAGGACAGCTACAACACAAGATGTCAAGGTAAGGACAGCTAAAACACACAGGTGTCAAGGTAAGGACAGCTACAACACAAGTTGTCAAGGTGTTTAGGAGCCCATGAATTTGTTTAGGAGTACAACAGGCAGTGTTCAAGGAGTGTAGGGGCACAACAGACGGGGTCAAGGAGTGTAGGGGCACAACAGACGGGGTTCAAGGAGTTATGAAGTACAACAGACAGGGTTCAAGGAGTGTAGGGGCACAACAGACAGGGTTCAAGGAGTTATGAAGTACAACAGACAGGGTTCAAGGAGTGTAGGGGCACAACAGACGGGGTTCAAGGAGTGTAGGGGCACAACAGACGGGGTTCAAGGAGTTTAGGGGCACAACAGACGGGGTTCAAGGAGTTTAGGGGCACACCAGATAGGGTTCAATAGGATAGTAGGAGGTTATAACAGCCAACAAATTTTTCATTTCCGCCTTTCACTGAAAAGCTTCAAATTTAATTACCTCAAAGACATATGTATCTGATGAAAGATTAGGTGTTATGACAAGGTATGTAACCATGGTTACAGACAACGGGGAAGCAGCTGCCTGACTGGGGGCATCATCAGATGGAGGTGGCAGCTGACCGGGTGATCAACCAGGACGCCACAATCTGGAATGTTGAGGAACATCGCTACACCAAGAGTGAGTTGTGTGGTCTTTCAGTGTGTGACAATCTGACATTGTATTCTGAATAACCAACTTCAGGTGGGGGTATAGGTGGCATGGTCGTCTAAAGTGCAGGGGCAGTGGGGCCTAGTGGTTAAAGCGTTCGCTTGTCATGCTGAAGGCCCAGGTCCGATTGCCCCCATGGGTACAATGTGTGAAGCCCATTTGTGGTGTCCCCTGCTGTGATGTTGCTGGGATATTGCTAAAAGTGTAGTAAAACCATCCTCACTCAAAGGTGCAGAGTTGTGTCCCTTGGGCATGCCAGGAACCCATGACTGTGAATTCGAATCCCTCATTTTGTCACCACATATCCATGCTGTTGGGTTTCACCCAAGTGGTAAGGGTATAAGGCCTGCATCTCTTTGGGCTTTCCTGCCACAGTGATAGAACTGATGTACTGTTAAATGTGATGTTAAACCAAACTGACTCACTCAATCTTGACCAGGTCTTGAGAAGGATAAGCAGTCGCTGGACCTCCGTCAGTCGGAGATGATCCCACTGGAGCCGACCCACCTGTCCTTCTGGTCCAAGTTCCTGGAGCTGCAGATGAAGATGATCTTCTCAAACCAGGATGCGGAGCTGGAACATAAGTACAGCTCCGACCCCACGGAGTGGCCCTTCATGAGCAAGAACATCGCCTACTGGATGAGCCCATTCTCGAATGTAAGTTGGAAGGGTTGTCTGAATGACAACATCAGGATAATCTACTGTTAACATAACTCTCTTTGGGAAACACAGTAGATTATGGCCTATATGTTGAGCAGAAGCAATAGTGGAAGATCTTTTTATTTAGTTTCATCTCATTTTCTTATTTATGTTATATAAGTTGTTAGGTATTACATATTAAGGGTGTTATGAGAATCCATTATATATGTATATTTACTTTCATGAAGAATATATTAAATGTACTTTGTTTTCATGAAATGTATATTCCTCCCTTTTTATAAATTATGTTGCATGTGTACAGATTGCCAGTGATCAACACTGACCCATTACACACGTCACTTCACATTGTCTATATGTAAGCCCTGGTAAGCTCACAGCCAAGTAAAGGCTGATGTTATGCAATTGTGGCTTGGCTATTGCTCGACAGGTAGACAAAGTGGTCAGTTCCCAGGTCGGATTTAGGTGTTAACTGACATGCCATGTCGGCAAGATTTGAAACTTTAATTGTGTATGCCATGTCGGCAATTTGTGACCTAAGGTGAATTATGGATTACACGAAACATTCACTGGATCTTGTTCGGAAATGAGGGGATATTACATCATAAAGTAAGACTGTTTTTATTGTGATTGATCATGTTGATACTTGCGTTTGCTGTTTGTGAATAATATGAAGCTTGATTAGACTGCCAGTATTAAATTATTTTTAAATTGTTGTGTGATCTCTCCTTGTTATGTATGGAAACGGTTTAGTGGATCCACACGTAACAAGGGACCCATGAAGATTCAGGATAGAATAGGTCGTCAGCAACCCATGCTTGTCCTAAAAGGCGACTAACAGGATTGGGTGGTCAGTCTCGCTGACTTTGTTGATGCATGTCATCATATCCCAAATGCGTAGATCCATGCTCATGATGTCAATCACTGGATTGTCTGGCCAGACTCGATTATTTACAGATCGTAGCCATATAGAGGGAATGTTGCTGAGTGTGGTGTTTTTATGATTTTATGAAAATGTATTGGATTGTATGGTGCTTGTTGTATCTGATAAATGAAATAATCTGTCAATCTTAATAATTTTTACCTGACCCTAGACAGATCCCACATGACCCCAGCTCAACGCCCATCCAACCCCAACCCCAACCCAGACCCCAAACTGCCTCCACCCGACCCCAAACTGCGTCCACCTGACCCCAAACTGCCTCCACCTGACCCCAAACTGCCTCCACCTGACCCCAAACTGCCTCTGCCTGACCCCAAACTGCCTCTGCCTGACCCCAAACTGCCTCCACCAGACCTCAAACTGCCTCCACCTGACCCCAAACTGCCTCTGCCTGACCCCAAACTGCCTCTGCCTGACCCCAAACTGCCTCCACCAGACCTCAAACTGCCTCCACCTGACCCCAAACTGCCTCCACCTGACCCCAAACTGCCTCCACCAGACCTCAAACTGCCTCCACCTGACCCCAAACTGCCTCCACCTGACCCCAAACTGCCTCCACCTGACCCCAAACTGCCTCCACCTGACCCCAAACTGTCTCCACCTGACCCCAAACTGCCTCCACCTGACCCCAAACTGCCTCCACCTGACCCCAAACTGCCTCCACCAGACCTCAAACTGCCTCCACCTGACCCCAAACTGCCTCCACCTGACCCCAAACTGCCTCTGCCTGACCCCAAACTGTCTCCACCTGACCCCAAACTGCCTCCACCTGACCCCAAACTGCCTCCACCTGACCCCAAACTGCCTCCACCTGACCCCAAACTGCCTCCACCTGACCCCAAACTGCCTCTGCCTGACCCTAAACTGCCTCCACCTGACCCCAAACTGCCTCCACCTGACCCCAAACTGCCTCCACCTGACCCCAAACTGCCTCTGCCTCACCCCGTGGCCCCAAGTGTCCTGATGCCTCCATACCGTCTGTCTGTCCTATGACCATGATGCTGTACACTGAGACATCTGTGTGTGATTCCAGGCCCAGATTCACCTGCTGGGCAACCCGGTGGTGTGGTGGTGTGCTTCTCTCAGTGTGGCCACTTACACCGCTCTCCTGGTCTTCTATATACTCCGGCGGCAGAGGAACATCTATGACATCACTGATGGTAGGCTTTCTTCTCGGATGTTTAATAAATCTATTCGGTTTTCACCTGTAAGCACACATCTCATACGTTATTCTTTATTTGCACAGAAAAGGATGCCAGGATTTCCTGGACTTATTTCTGTATCTGGCCGTTACAGCCCATACCCCTGTCTGTTCAGCAGAAGTAGTTCACAGGCAATATTATCCTGTCTTAAAGAAAACAGTACTGACCATTTTTAACTACAGGGAATGCAATTATTTAGGCCATGTGCTAACGGTGTACCCATTCTTAGTGAGTAATGGTTAATTCAAGTTTAAGCCCTGGGCTTAATGTACAAGGATGTTAACAGGGGAGTGGCATATATCTTTGTGTTCCAGTTTACCCTTGTCACCTGGAACTGTTTGTGTTACAGCGGAGTGGCATAGCTTTGTGTTCCAGTTTACCCTTACTTGTCACCTGGAACTGTTGTGTTACAGCGGAGTGGCATAGCTTTGTGTTCCAGTTTACCCTTACTTGTCACCTGGAACTGTTTGTGTTACAGCGGAGTGGCATAGGTTTGTGTTCCAGTTAACCCTTACTTGTCACCTGGAACTGTTTGTGTTACAGCGGAGTGGCATAGGTTTGTGTTCCAGTTTACCCTTACTTGTCACCTGGAACTGTTTGTGTTACAGCGGAGTGGCATAGGTTTGTGTTCCAGTTAACCCTTACTTGTCACCTGGAACTGTTTGTGTTACAGCGGAGTGGCATAGGTTTGTGTTCCAGTTTACCCTTACTTGTCACCTGGAACTGTTTGTGTTACAGCGGAGTGGCATAGGTTTGTGTTCCAGTTTACCCTTACTTGTCACCTGGAACTGTTTGTGTTACAGCGGAGTGGCATAGGTTTGTGTTCCAGTTTATCCTTACTTGTAACCTGCTGAAACTGTTTGTGTTACAGCGGAGTGGCATAGCTTTGTGTTCCAGTTTATCCTTACTTGTAACCTGCTGAAACTGTTTGTGTTACAGCGGAGTGGCATAGGTTTGTGTTCCAGTTTACCCTTACTTGTCACCTGGAACTGTTTGTGTTACAGCGGAGTGGCATAGCTTTGTGTTCCAGTTTACCCTTACTTGTCACCTGGAACTGTTTGTGTTACAGCGGAGTGGCATAGGTTTGTGTTCCAGTTAACCCTTACTTGTCACCTGGAACTGTTTGTGTTACAGCGGAGTGGCATAGCTTTGTGTTCCAGTTTATCCTTACTTGTAACCTGCTGAAACTGTTTGTGTTACAGCGGAGTGGCATAGCTTTGTGTTCCAGTTTATCCTTACTTGTAACCTGCTGAAACTGTTTGTGTTACAGCGGAGTGGGATAACTTTGTGTTCCAGTTTATCCTTACTTGTAACCTGGAACTGTTGTGTTACAGCGGAGTGGGATAGCTTTGTGTTCCAGTTTATCCTTACTTGTAACCCCGGGGAACTGTTTGTGTTACAGCGGAGTGGGATAACTTTGTGTTCCAAGGTGAACTGCTAGTGGGGGGCTACCTGCTGTACTACGTTCCGTTCTTCCTGCTGGACAGAACGCTGTTCCTCCATCACTACCTGCCAGCCATTGTGTTCAAGATCCTGGTGCTAGCAGCCATCATTGACCATCTGCATAATATTTTTCACAGGTATGTATCTATTGTCATTCTCTCAGGTGTGTGTTTATTGTCATGCTCTCAGATGTGTATTTACTGTCATGCTGTCAGGTGTGTGTTTACTGTCATGCTGTCAGGTGTGTGTTTACTATCCTGCTGTCAGGTGTGTGTTTACTGTCATGCTGTCAGGTGTGTGTTTACTGTCATGCTGTCAGGTGTGTGTTTACTATCCTGCTGTCAGGTGTGTGTTTACTGTCATGCTGTCAGGTGTGTGTTTACCATGTTTACTGTCATGCTGTCAGGTGTGTGTTTATTGTCAGGTGTGTGTTTATTGTCATGCTCTCAGGTGTGTGTATTGTCATGCTGTCAGGTGTGTGTTTATTGTCATGCTCTCAGGTGTGTGTTTATTGTCATGCTCTCAGCTGTGTGTTTATTGTCATGCTGTCAGGTGTGTGTTTATTGTCATGCTGTCAGGTGTGTTTGTTGTCAGGTGTGTGTTTATTGTCATGCTGCAAGGTGTGTGTTTATTGTCATGCTGTCAGGTGTGTGTTTATTGTCATGCTGTCAGGTGTGTGTTTATTGTCATGCTCTCAGGTGTGTGTTTTTGGTCATGCTCTCAGGTGTGTGTTTTTGGTCATTCTCACAGGCATATTTTTATTGTCTTTCTCTCAGGTGTGCATTTTATGTTGTATGTATTTAACTAAGTGTCAAAAGTGCCTGTGTACATTATCCAGAGCTGTAGATAAGATTTTGGTTATTTGGGTATTTTACCCAGGGGTTTGATTTTGATTATGTGTCCACAATTTTTAGAGGGTATTCATTTTTTTTACCTACCTGTTTCTTGACATTTGGGTATTTTTACTTGAAAACCTGTTTCGTAACAATCCCTGTAATTCATTAAAACTATATGAATAGTAGTATGCCAGTCTGCGGCTCCCTCTCCGGAGAGCCTTTTTTGTTTGCAGAACCCTAGCATTGTAAGAAAGGCGTTATTTTTATAATCACCAATCAGCGACTGTGCATTTACTAGGCATGCAGTGATTTTCAATTGGCATCTATCATTATGTTTGACACTCAAGCTTTTCCGAATGTAACTCTCGGCAAGTGAATTCGCGATCGGCTCATAGACAATCATTTTATCAAACACTTGCAATATACGCAATCGTTTTATCTAATAGTGGTAATATATGCATTAATTTTATTTCAATCGCATATTTATACTCTTTGTTGCGTATTTGATATGCTAGAATTTGATTTGTCTGCGTATTTAAGTTTATTTAATGCATATTTTACGCAAATACGCAGCTTATCTCGAGCTCAGCATCATCTGTCAACAGATGTAATTTACATACAGCATGAATGTTTGTTGGACTATCGGTATGGTGTATGTCACGTAGAGAAACAAGGGAACCCACATGGTACATGCAATAACTCTAATACATGTATTCTAATCACTCACCTCAGCATACAGACATACATTCATACATGTGAAGTTTTTTTGTTTTTTTTAAACGTTTTTATTGTGCCCAGAGTTGTAGATTAATACAGTATTCCGTCAAAGACATATTTCGGATTGCATAGAATGGCACAATACACTTTTTTAAAAATTAAAGGGTTGGAATGCATACATACATGTGAAGTTAGGTGCAGACCTTTAATTTAAAGGTAAATAGCTCCAATATCTGTACACGTTATACTTTGTTGCACAATCAGATAAGTAAATAGGGGCCCAGAGAAACAATAGAGAAGGCAAGTGCAGTGGTGACTGTGCTATTGTAATAGTGAAGCAGGTAAGATTGGGTGGTAGGACTAAGACTTAGGGATTAAAATAAAATGCACTTGATGATAGATACATCGTTACATTCAACTACAGATACAGGATGTGAGGCAGGGTGTTTGGTAGGGAACCAGGTGGAGATGAGGAATTTTAAAATTGAGTCAAGAACGGATGTATTAGCAGTTGGTATTGATGTTATATTTCTGGGAAGAATTCTGTTATCATGGTTATTCTGAACAGTGCAATAATAATAATAATGATGATGATGATGATGATGATGATAATGAGTCCATTTGTATGGCGCCAAACTCCATACCAGCTCGTGTGCTCATGGCGCTTACATAGTACAAGGGTAATACTTGTCAACTCAATTAGTGCATTGTAACCATGGTGACATTTCTAACTCAATTAAAACCAACAATGGAGGCAACTCAATTATTTCATTGTAACCATGGTAACATTTCTAACTCAACTAAAACCAACGTGATTTAACATTTGAAGCTATGCCTTTTCTTTTCGCTGACCAGAGTTGTGTCCCTTAGTTGTGCCAGGATCCAGTGATTTTTAATTCTAATGCCAGATTTGCCTTGATTATGATCCTTGCTATGTGAGTACTGTGTGCCTGTGCTCAAATGTTTCAGGGGGCACGGGTGGCCCAGTTGTCTAAGGCGCCGCGATTCACTGTTGCGAGTTACGTCCCTTGGGCACGCCAGAAACCTATGATTGTGGGTTGGAATCCCAGTTGGCCCCAATTATGTTCCTAAGTTTGTCAGCACTAATCCCGTGCTCATGGGATTGACGAAGTGGTAAACATCTGAGACCTGCATCACTTCGGGCTTTCCTCCCACATTAAGCTGACATGCTGCGATATAACTGGAATACTGTTAAAAGCAGCGTTAAACCCCAACTCACTCACACTCAAATGTTTCACCAAACATATAACTGAAATACTTTGCCGTAAAACCCATTTAACACCGCACTCTTTTTATTTCAGAAACAGAATAATATCATCTGTAGTCACATACACGGCGGTGGCACTATTTACATGTGCAGTGTATTCTTTCTATCTGCTTACACCATTTACATACGGGAACCAGCCGCTTTCAGAGGAGGAAATACAACACTTGACGTGGCAGGAGTCGTGGGATTTCCTCGTCCATGCTAGGAAGGCGTGACAAGACAGGTTGAGAATCATCCAGTTTGAGATGGATTTACCTCATACTTATGATAATACTTGGTGATATATTCAGTAAGCAGGGTTGCAGATATACTTCGGTGGGTTATGTTGTACAAAGGGATCTTAGCACTAAGGTTATCGCAACTTCCATACTTTAACATAGACTTGCGTTCTTAGTATAGAAACTTTATGGTATTCAAAAGTAATGGGAAGAAATCTAAAGCTGTTCATGATCCATCTTGTTTCTGTTAGACCGCCTCACATCACTTGTAGTCCAAAATCTTACCCTAGAACAGAGCCCTGCTCCACAAAGCCATCTTAGTGCTAAGATAAGATGATCATAACTCCCATACTTTAACATAGGCTTACGTTAGTCTTAGCTCTATGATAGCTTTGTGCAAGTGGGACCAGGACCCTGTTCCACAAAGCCATCTTAATGCTAAGATGATCTATACTCCTATACTTTAACATACACTTAGGACAGTTGAAGCGCTAAGATCACCTTGTGGAAAGGGGCCACTTGCAAAAACAATCTTAGCGCTAAGACTGTCGTAAACTGAAGTATGGAGGTATGATGGTCTTAACACTAAGATCACTTGGTGCAATTTGGCCCAGACTCACTCTCACTTAATGGAGAAAAAACGGTTCTGTATTTAGGTGCTAGATAATAACCAACCTTCCATGAACATGGAAGAAATGGATGTCAAGAATAGGCCAATGATGACAATTCTGTTAAGGCTCTGTGAAATCGAAAGTCATAAAATTTAGAATCTTTAATTATAGTTATTCATTTCATTTATGAGCTTTACATTTTGTAAAGAGAAAATATCTAAATATTTACTTAATTAGAAAACAGTAAAATAATATATATATATAATACATGTCCTCAGAATCTTAGCTTGGGGGGGGGAAAATCTGACAAACAAATAGTCATTTTTGTGTGGCCTTATTCATTGTACTTAGTTAACAAAATACAGCCGAAATGACTAATTGTCTACTGTCCGTCCATATTTAGTAGGTTTTGTAATATCTTTAAGTGTTGTGTATTAAACATTCATTATTGAATGGTTCAAATGTCCTTTGCTTTCAAAACTTTTACATTTTAGACATTTTATATTCCTTGATGTCACACTTGGAGTTATCTAGGCCTTTTTGGCTCAGCTCTATGGCAAATGCCAGAAGAAAGTCCCAAATTGAAATACCAATAAATGGACCATTAAAGAGAAAAAGTCTCCAAAACTTAAAGAGACACTTGGACTTAAGGGACGATAGGGTAGCCTAATGGCTCAAGTGTTCACTCGTCTTGCTTGAAGACCAAGGTTTGATTCCCAAAATCAGTACAATGTGTGAAGTCCATTTCTGGTGTCCCCTGCCTTGATATTGCTGGAATATTGCTGAGAGATGTGTAAGACCATACTCACTCAGTTTGCACTATTGCATTGAAGGCAATGATAGACTTACCCCCAATGTGATAAAATAAGGACATTGTTGAAAATCCTGTATAATTCCTCGTCATATTTCTGGATGAAATCAGAAGGTTGTAAGTTTATTTTTGTGAAAGTGGTTTTAACAATTCCAGACAATCCATCTGATCTGTGTATAAGGAACATTCCTCGGTGTGTGTTGTGTTGTGGCATTGTGATACATCCTCACTGTCCGTCATCACAATAGTGTGTCTAGAACTAGTCTCAGCAATAATCGGATCATGAATATTTTGGGGATACTTTTATGAAATTGTGTCCTCAGTCTTCACTAAAATATATCCCCAAAAGTATTTTCACAATCCCTAGGTTTTTTTGTTCAGTATAAAAGTACTTTTAAGGCTTAATTGCCTTTAAAGGTGAGGGAATTTGCCCTATTTGCAATCATAAATTTGTAAAAAATGTTTTTAAAATAGAATAAAATGTTAGAAAAAAGCTTATCTGTTTATCTGTATTTTTATGAGTTCTTTTTGCTGAGGAAATTGACCTCAAATCAGTTCTGACATTTTTTATTTTAAATTGTTTCTTGCTGTTCCATAAAAATCATAAAAATTCCTATCAAAACTATTGAGAAACCTGTGTTGATCCTTTTGGATGAAATTGTTTTGTTTCATGTTTTATACCAATAAAGCCTTCACAATTGAGAGAGGGAGAAGTCGATCAAACTGCCAAACAGTATAGTAATGCATTATAGTGTATATTATATTTTATATAGTTTTATAGGAGAATAATTGTTTATTTTAGCTTGTGTTCTTTATTGTGGCAGGTGAATCAAGCATCTGCCAAGTGATGTTAGTTGCCATGACGATCATGTTAAGATGTAGATGTTTTGTGTTTTTTTGTGACAGTGGTGAGGAGGCTCACTGATACATCCCTACTTTGTGTTTATACCTAAAATGGATAGAAATATCACTAAACCGCCCGCATGTTATCAAAAAATGAGGAGGCCACTGTAACTTGATAATGCCCTCATATTGCTTGACGACGGGCCATTATCACACCCGTTGATGTCATAGGATAGGGATATGTGACGTCACATTCAATAGTGACATCATCTGGTTTGTTCTAAGATGTTTCCATATTGGTAAAAGTGGGTCAGTGGCATTCATGTTGATTGCCTTAAATGTTTCTTTTTATCTGATAACAAATTCCATCCATTTAGCTATAATAACGGTAACGCTATTTTTCAGGCCATTATCATTTGCAGAAGCCCTCGATCTTTTCAACTGCCTTCCTTCGTTGGGCAGTTAATGGAAGACCTCAGGCTTCTGCAAATGATAATACCCTGAAAAATAGCGTTACCCTTATTTTAAAACATTGTATGTTGTAAATATAAAAAATAAGGAATTAAAACTGTATTATGAGAGCCAATGGTGAACATAATGCAAATTTGTTATTCTAAATATATAGGACATTATACGAGTGTTCATGTCATACTAAGTTAACAACAGGTGTGTCTTAATTCTGGTATTTCCCGAGTGAGAGCAATGGAAATACCAGAATTTAGGCAAGAGTGTCATAAACATAGTATGACATAAACTTGATTATATAATGTTCTATTTATTTCCGAAGAAGATGTCCACATACAGAGACAATAAGATTCGAAAGACGTCAACAATGCCGTCGGGGTGAAGGAAACATTACATTGTTGTCTCGTGACGTGATATAACCCTAGAGCACATGATTTGAAAATATGTGTACAATTGTAATTGTTGGATGTTTTTCAGAGAGTCATGTGAAGTTTTTGGAGTTTATGAAAACTGTTTTGAAATGAGAGCTATTTTACAAATAATAAATATTTTGCAATCAGTACCGAGATTGATATTCTTGAAGATGTGTAATGTTGTATGGTCCATGTAATGTTGAAATCATTGTGTGTTATTCATGTAAATGCAAAATGTATGATGTATTTATTGTGCAATGAATCTCAATAAATGTAAATGATGGGTGGTTGGTTTATCATTGAGAATGTCTGTAGAGGAGAGGGAATAGTGCTTCAACACAGTAGAGGAGAGGGAATAGTGCTTCCACATTGTCTATAGAGGAGAGGGAATAGTGCTTCCACATTGTCTATAGAGGAGAGGGAATAATGCTTCAACACAGTAGAGGAGAGGGAATAGTGCTTCAACACTGTAGAGGAGAGGGAATAGTGCTTCAACACAGTAGAGGAGAGGGAATAGTGCTTCCACATTGCCTATAGAGGAGAGGGAATAGTGCTTCCACATTGTCTATAGAGGAGATGGAATAATGCTTCAACACTGTAGAGGAGAGGGAATAGTGCTTCAACAATGTCTATAGAGGAGAGGGAATAGTGCTCCAACACTGTAGAGGAGAGGGAATAGATTTGTTTGTTCAATGCCCCACTCAGCAATGTTCCAGCTATATGACAGCGGTCTGGAAATAATGGAGTCTGGACCAGACAGCCTAGTGATTGACATCATGAGCATCGATCCATGCAATTGAGATATGACATGCACCAACAAAGTCAGGTAGCCTGACTACCTGGTCCCGTTAGTCCCCTTTTGCGACAAGCATAGTCGCCTTTCACAGCAAGCATGGGTTACTGAAGACCTATTCTACCCCAGCCTCAGCGATATCTGGAGAGTGACTACTGAATAGTGCCTCAGCCATGTCTGTAGAGTGAATAGAGCATCAGCATTGTGTGTTTGAATATGGTGACCATGGTAAAGAAATTTGGCTTCAAATATTTAGGTCAGGACTTAATTGTATGGCTTGCTCAGTGTGGTGCTCAGCATCTTCCCGAGGCAAGGGAGATAACTGACTTTAAAAGTCCAGTTTCCACCCTTGCCGAACTAACCTGGAAGTCCTGGGCTCGATCATAACGTCACCAGTGGTTATTACAAGTCATGTCCCTTCCATGCCTCTCCTATGGACCAATCAGATTCCACCTCTCGTATCACTTGCATTTGTATCAAACAAAATGGCAGCGCCCTGTCAAGACGATCTGATCGAAAATCAAGTTCTATATTGTGATAAAACGGGTCTTACATCGTGAAATGCATCAAACTGTGTGAGCACCTTGATTAAAATCATGAAAAGATTGGGAAAATATCTGTTGACAACGAGTTGGCGGTGTACATGCTTTGCAAATCCTGCAATAGACCAAAATCAACACGACAGTTTCCTAACGGACTCTTGCTCGGGAAATACAAGAATTCTGACACTCATTTTGAAAAATCAGTATGACACACATATAAAATAATCTCTATTTTTCACCTTGAATGCATACATTTGTTATGCAGTGAAGTCTATATCAAATCAAGCGACGGCCTTGTCTCAGCAAGAGGGAATCCAACTCGTTCTCCGACCAATGAGCGCTCAGGTTACAGCAGCAACGTGTCACAGCCTTGTGGCCGTCTTCTCTACACCTTGCTTCAGTATCAGGCAAGGAGTGGTGGGGTAGCCTAGTGGTTAAAGTGTTCGCTTGTCATACGAAGACCCGGTTCGATTCCCCACATGGGTACAATGTGTGAAGAGCATGTCAGGTGTCTCCGCTGTGATACATCTGGAATATTGCTAATAGTGGCGTAAACAACTCACTCGCTCACTTACTCGAAATCAGCAACTGTTGATTTTGTATTAGATTTGTTGGGTTCATTTGAATTCAGTGAGTTGCACACAGCCACATTTCATTACTTGTCACTGTTTGACAGCATATCTGTTGTATGTATTCATGGGTGATGGAGGAACGAAGTGCATACAAACCTTTGTGAGTGAGTGAGTTTGGTTTAGCGCTGCTTTTAACAAATTTTCCAGTTATATCACAGCCTGTCAGCTTATTTTCGGAGGAAAGCCCGGAGAGAGGCAGGTCTCAGACGTTTACCACTTCAGTGACACCCATGTGCATTGGGTATGGTGCTGACAAACCTAGAAACGTAATCGGCGAAACGGGATTCGAACCCACAATCATAGGTTTCTAGCGTAACCAAGGGACGCAACTCTTGACAGCGAATTGCGACGATTGGGCCACGCGCCCCCCCCCCCCCCCCCCCAAACATTAATGAGGGGGTCATGGTTCAATCACTTTTAGTTCAACATAGCCCACAATATAAGTTGTAGCATTATCACTCGGGGTATATATGTTTTATGCGTAAGATTTTATACCCAGGCCTTCCTATCTATCGGAATGGAAAAAAAGAAAATCGGAACAAATTACAGACACAAGGTCGCATTATTTGATTAGAAAGTCGTAAAAATGTGAACGCATTGTAATATTATAAAACCATCCGCAGCGGAGTACACGAACAGCTAGCGGAGCAGCTATACACCTGAAAGAAAAACGTCGTTTTCATATCCGTTAAAAAATGAGGCAGTGGTGTAAAACCTAACGCGGGACGCATATAACCACTTATCATGTCTCAAAGTGAGATTGACCAGTCAAAGAGCAGAACTACTGACCCCACATGAGCCCGTACACCGTCAGTAAAAATCCAAGATGGTTGATACTGACCTAATATCAATCTCATTACAATCAGATCTTAGTTCTCGCTATCGCTAAACAAAGATCTGAGGACATCCCATTACGGGTCACGCCAGAACGACCTTTCATCCGACCAATCAAAGCGTCGCTTACCAAAACATGAAAGTGACAATCGGAATGTGTTTTCTAACCATGCAACCTCGAAAACGTTAACAAGGGGTATTCCGAACGACAGTTACGGCCCGTACGACTAATTCCGTCAAAATTGTCTCTCGCTTCCGTGGGATAAACTTTGAACGGAGGAGGCGTTGCACAGTACGTGGGAAGCACTGCCATACAATCTCAACTATATGTTAGACATTCCGGAATGTTCGTTTGTTCAGTTTTCAAAATCTTAATCGAGAACTATGTCAACATATGTTTCAAGCGTAGTCTGAAATGGAAGTCGCCAGGTTGAAACGAGTGCCGTAAAGCTCGAGAAAGCTGCTTTCTAAATGGCTGATGTCAACTTCTTGTTGGTCATTTCAGTGGTCGGTCAAAGTTCGCGATAGTTCTGACGTGACCCGTAATGGGATGACCTCAGATCTTTGTTAAGCGGCAGCGAGAACTTAGATCTGATTTTAATGAGATTGACCTAATATGAAACCGTAGTCGGTATACTGTCAGTAACAGCCATCTTGGATTTTCCAACACCCACCTCACATATTTCACATGGAAATTCTGGTACCGAAATACGTTATTTAACACTGTTTTGTGTTTTGCTATCATTAATTTTGATGCAATTTATCGTTCGTGACTTAATTGATGAAGATTATAGTTAATTTTTTTAACAAGGTTTGGCCTCTAAGGTTTGAAAAGTAGTCTCCCTTTGACCCTTAACGTCAACGAACGGTTGTAAGTTTCAAGTTTTCATTTTGACTTGACGCGTGCGATATGGATACTAGAGTATGTTAACTTTTCGGCGTAATAAATTCGTTATGGCGTCTTTAGTTGCCGTATACGGTGTCATATCAGGTTAGCAGAAAAACCTAATATGACACCGTATACGGCAACTAAAGACACCATAATTAATAACATACCCCGAGTGATACTGCTACAACGAATGCATCTTACCGACATGTTTCAAACTGCCATCGTAAAATAATTTTCACAAATTGAACATTGATAGAAAACAGCTGAGGCTAACTAGTGCTGTGTCACGTGACTTTCCTTGACACGGTAACAGCGTTAGAAATGTATTTCCCTCCCAGGCAGGATACATAGTATTCATCAAGATCACGTGAACCAATCAGATCTCTACATTCTGACACGGAGGTTTGATAAATGTCTTTCTCCAACCCACGTGCAGCAACTGATCTCTTATCTGCCAGGGACCGATGGTTGAAGATTTAAAACCATGATGGTGCTCCATTTATGACCCTTTAGGTAATGGGCGAGCGAGTATGGTTTTACGCCGCTTTTAACAATATTCCAGCAATATCACAGCGGGGGTAAAAAGAAATGGGCTTCACACATTGTACCCATGTCGGGAATCGAACCCGGGTCTTCGGCGTGACGAGCGAAGGCTTTAACCACTAGGCTACCCGACCACCCCTTTAGGTAATGATGATGATGATGATGATGATGATAATGATAATAATACCAGGCTTTGATGAACATGAAACATGTTTATTTTGGTATCAAATGTGGGAGGCATTCGATTTGTCTGACATCAGAGCAAAGAAACATCATGAAATCACACCTTTAATATGTTTATTTAAACGGACAAAAACAACTTCTGTTTTGTGGATAGATTAATTTCAGTTTAAACAAGCACAACTTTCATTCATACACACACCCTCCACGACCCACCACCCCTACTAGTATTTTTAATCATTCAGTACATGACCCAATTATTACTTCATGATTATAGCATAAAAATAAAACAATGTCATCTCATCAATTTTCTTAATAGTTCCTCACCAATAACCACTGAAATGATCCCATAGGAACAGTGTACAGAAGATGTAGATGAATAGTAGATGAAATGTGTAATCATAGACTGTAGCATCCCTCTGCCTGGGTCCACGGCAGCCATAGCTAGTATCCCCAGGACCGTGCTCCCTCACAGCCTCAGGTGCAGCAGTTGAACCATCTCCAGATCCCCGCCCAGCTCTACCTGCCCTGCAGGACCCACCAGCATCTGCTGAGCTGTCTGGGACCAGGTCATTGTCCACAGGTGCGTTGAGGATGTTTCCATCATGGGTACCCGCCTCCTCCGCGCCAGGAGCACCTGCAACACGAGGATCTCTCAACTCCTGGTCAACGCCAGACTCTTGAGACTCAAAGTCGTCTGGAGTGTACTGAGATGATACGTCATGGGTGGTCATTTCAGGCTGTGTGAAGTCAGTTTGTGTTTGAACTTCTCGGACTGATTTTTCCACTTCTGGCTTGAAAATACCCAGCGAGAAGTCCCCTTGGAATTTCTTGTTGACAACGGTGTCCTGGATACGAGTGTTGGAGTCCAGCTCCTCGACGTCAACCTGGTTCTCCACCAGACTCAGCTGATCAAGCCTCTTCCTTAACATATCCCCGATCTCCAGGACCTCCACAGGCTTACCATTTGACAGCACCCGGCGGCAGAATTCTATAGAGGATTTCTCCTGTTTTATTTGCTTGTCCAGGTTCTCATTAACTTTGGTTAATGTGGCAAGTCGAGATTCGATGAGTGTTTTGGAAGTTTGTTTAGTCTGTGTAATCTCTCTTTCTGCAGCATGCAGCACAGCCTTTCCGGTCTCTATTATTGTTCTGATAACTTCACGGCTTTGTTTCTCGGCCTCGTCATGCAAGTGTTCAACGTGTGTTTTTGTTTCTTCAATCTGAGTCACTTTAGACTGGACTTGACAGAACATTGTTTCAAGAAGCTCCTTCTTGCTGGTATACGCTTGTGGAATCGTGGAGTAGGTATGGTCCTTATGGTCAACAAGGAGGCAAGACAAACAGGCCACCTTCTCACACGTCTCGCAGTAATACTCCAACTCCTTTTGATGGGCCACACAGGGGAAGGTCTGGGCCTCCCGGAGATGCTGATCGTAGTCCCCTGATGCAAACTCCCCCAGTGGGAGGACCTTATGGTGGACGGTAGTGGTGGACAGTTGGTGTCCTTTACTGCAGGTGTCACACAGGCCGTCTCCACAGGTCGTGCATTTACTCACTGCTGTCTTGTTTACACGCCTTTGCCTGCACACAGTGCACATCAACATCTGTCTCTTGGTGTTATAAATCTCCATCAAACTGTTGATGAAGAAGCTGCACCTCAGGTCCTCCACTCCTGCCTTGAACAGTCTCACCTCCTCCCTGCATTCCGGACACCTGATAATACGGACCTTCTTTGATTTGAATTCCACCATTTTCATGAGACAGGCCTTGCAGTAGGTGTGGAGACAGGGCAGTGTCCTGGCTTCCGTGAGAACCTCCAGGCAGATGTGGCAGGACAGGACCTCCTCTCGGATAGACTCCGCCATGTTGTGATTCTCTATCGCCTTCGACATGCTCTCATACAAGATGGCCTGATCTGCAATGGGAAATAACCCACCTTGATAAGTCGATGCTTGAGTGAGTGAGTGAGTGAGTGAGAAATAAGTGGAAAATATATGACAATGGGACAATTTTCAATAAATGTTTTTTTTTTAAAACTAGCATTGGAACCCCGTATTTTATTTTGTTCTGACACACCATTAAAACGCATAGTGGAGCGACAGAAAGCAAACAAATTGGTATGTGGTAGTGACCTAAGGGTTTGCGACATTGCAATAATGCTGTCTGAGTTTGAATCCTCATTCACTTTGTCATACATGGTCGTTGACCTGGGACATGTTTGCTTTGTTGGTACCTGTTCGATAGTCTGCTAATCACAGACTGGTGAAACTTTGAACGTATTGGCCACTGCACGACTTTCCAGCATGTCAATAGCCCGTAGACGACCCGCGCGTTTCAGACGCCGCATCGCCAGTTCATAGACAAACAATGAATGAAATCAAGAAATCGCAACTGTATGATAAGCAGAATCATTAAGATTGACAGAAATAATGGTCCACAGAGATTAATCGACCTTCATTGAAAGTGTCAAAATCAGGAATGACACTCTACGCACGTGAGGCACGTGCAAACTATAGGATGCATGTGTGTTGGTGTTGTTTGTCGCCCACACCTATTTTTATTCTATTTTTTGTATTCACATTTAGATTTACTGGATTATTTTGGGATTTTTTTAGGGTGCAGGGGGTTTTGTGACCACATTACTGTTCCCAATATTTACCATATTGTAGAGTTATTTATATAATTCTGGAATACAACTATTCATTTTCTGTCTCACGTCATAGACGTGTAACAGTTATGAAGGGAGATTAATGGAGAATACCGGATACATATTGGTAAGGAATGTGCACGACTTCCGAACTTTACAGTAACGGTTTCTAACTGTAAAATAACAGCTTTATAGTGTGTTCATTTTACTTTTATTTTATTTGCCTCCCACACAACGACTTGCAACAATTATTGTAAGTATATGTCATTTTCACTTTCCAAATAATAACGTGAGTAGGTTCCGGTATTTGCAATGGGGTCCCATGCATTGCAGTTTACTCCAATAACGCTATGCAGTAACACAGATGAAGTTTAAATTACATTAGAAGTAAACAAATATACAAAACAAATATGGCCGATTGGTAACGCGTGACAGCGCTGGTCTTCAATTTGAAAACCCTGGACGACCCAGGTGAACCTGTGTTGACCAAGGTATGGCCCAAGTTAACCTTGATTGATCAATGTTAGCTCACGTCAACTGATTTACGTCAGTCATCGGTTGACCTAAGTTGCCCACACCTACCGAACCCCTGGGTTGCGGTACTCTAGTTAGCAGCCTCCAAGTGACCTTATCGGTAAAGAAAAGTTGTGTTATTTATTGATCCAGTCATGAACAAATGTATTTTAATGAATACATTTAACTAGGTATTAGTTATAAATGTGTATTCTGATGTTCGTCAGGGAATTCAACTTTCGATTGTTGACACAAATACTTAATTAATAATGCAACTTTGATGATGTTTTTGCATCTCTGTTTGATGTTCTAGGCATTATGTTAAATATCCATCCTTTTTGTTTTATATGCATTAAATTTGAAAAAAATACAATGGTAGCTATGTTAAGCAATGAAACATTTGTTAACCTCTCCAAGCCGTGTGTTATAGCAATAAACATGTTGTGTTTCTCCTTCTCTTGGCAGCCATTTTGTTTTATATCTAAGGTTGCAGTTTCTGCGTTTTATTTCGGATAGTTACCCAAACCCTGATTGCCAAAACAGGCTCCGCCGTTCATACAGTTTGGCCCTCACTCTAAAAGACAATTATTAAATAACCGAACGCAGGTATTGTCAAATCGGCTAATGTCCAGTCGTTTCTAACTGACTACTCACGTATTATGTCGAGTGATGTTACACTTTCTGCACTAGCACCGTCCCTGTTTTACTGATGACGGCATTTGGCACTTTGGCCCGACTCGAAAAGCTTATCATGACGAGATCTGGCTATTGCGATCGATCCATGGTGGCTGTCGCAGCTCGCTGTGTGTACGACTATGCAGTCAGCGTGTTATGTTATGTTATGTTGTCATGACAGCTGTCAGCAACGACGACAATGTTATGACGTCATTCAATGGATGACGTCAAGACATTGTACCGTCAGAGTCGGTCGGTCTAAGCTGGTTCCCGGCTCCCAATGCGCGTCGTAAAGTTGCGTTATGAGAGACGGGGCCCAGCTAATCTGTCGGTCCTCATTCGTGACCAACTCGTGTTATTCCGGGACAAGCTTAGACCGACCAGGTTACGGAAAGGGCCGAGTGGTGACGAATGGTCGGTCCTGTTCACTCTCCTACCCAGAGTTCCATGCGGCCGGCAGCCAGCTAGCAGTTGTAGTAGCATATCTGTATAGTTATGCAAAACAATATGTAAAGCGCCCCCAAATACTTGTATTAGTCCGTTCGAAAAAGCGCGTTTCCAAACAAGAGAAAAGTCAGGTCACGTGATATGCAAAATAGCCTGTGGCAGTGGTGTTATGCTGAGTCACCACTGCGACGGAGTGTGGGTCCTGTTCACTCTCCTACCCAGAGTTCCATGCGGCCAGCCTCGTGGGAGTGTGGGCCCTGTTCCTCTGTTTGCTAAGATGATCCCATACTTTTACATAGGCCAACGATAGTCCTAGCGCTAAAATGGCTTTGTGGAACGGGACCAAGCATTTCAATTATTGTTTTGTTTGTTGTTTGTTGATTTGAGTCCGTTCATCAATATTCCAGCTATTTGATGACGGTCTGTAAACACTCGAGTCTGGACCAGACAATCCAGTGATTGACATTCCGGATGGACCATTTGGGGGAAAATAAACTGCTTGCGGGATATTTCTCTGCTCCCCTTTCCCTTTTCAAGTATCTTTATTTAGGAAATTCAAGAAATGGAACTTGGAGTTTAAAAACAAAATGTATTCGACTTCAAGTATATTTCACGTTGTCACTGAAGCCACTGTGATGTCATCTCCCTATGCGTATTCTAGTCATTCGAGTATTCGGCGCATTGATAATTCCACTGTAATATTTATAGCACCCACGACTACTTACATTGCGGGGATGACTAGAATGACAGAGATGTACGTCTTCCAGGACACATTCTCTGTTCACAATGACCGAAAAAATACCCCGTGCCTAACAAAATTCCCAGAACAAAACATTCATGAACTAATGTAAGGGTTTCATTAACATATTTGTGAAAATGGGTTTAACGTCGCTTTCAAGATTATTGCACTTTATAGTGACGTGCATATACGTGTACTAGTCTGGGCTAATGCCGAATTTATAGTGCTAGCCCAGTGAGGTACCATGCCGCAGTTTAACATGTTTGTTTGTTTGTTTTTTTACGCCGCACTGTGCAATATTCCAGCTACATGACGGTGGTCTGTAAATAATCGAGTCTCGACCAGACAATCCAGTGATTGACATCATGAGTATCGATTCGCGCAATTGGGATACGATGTCATGCATCAACCAAGTCAGCGAGCCTGACCACCCGATCCCGTTAGTCGCACTTTAACATGACACTCGGACACAGTATACTGACTCCGAGCTGACCAGTGCTTGTTAAAACTTAATGCCGAGCGCAGACAGGGTAACAATAAGTACAACGTCTTAACGTCTTTTGGTATGACGCGACCGGGGATCTAACGTCCGATCTTCCGCTCTCCGGACAGACGATCTACCACAAGACCACGAAAGCGGTCTCATTAACATGTAAATTAATTAAATCAGTGTATTATTGTTGTAGTGACAGAAGTATTAATGAGGCGAACGTAAATTTAAAAACTCTTAGGTTGTTGATTTGTATTATCAGGGTATGAAACTCCCAAAAATTTCAGCCAGACCACAGGACTGGCTAGCTGAAATACTTGCCAGCCCTGACCAAAACCTGCCTGCCCACTATAATCATATGTTTCTCAGGATAATTTAATTAAAAATATGAAAACTAATTGCTTGTAGCATAAGCGCATCGCTTACTGTTAGGTTGTCTAAAAGCTAACGGGGCTTCTTTTTGGTTACATTTTATCATTCATCTTTACATGTGAATTAATGCTTATCATCGGGAAATATTTAGAATATTTGCACCTATGAAATATAACCCGACCGTCGGGCAGGGGGGATTTGAAAATCTGGCAGCCCGAGTTGAAATCAACCCGTCTCGGACGGTCGGGCAGGCAGGTATTTCGAACGCTAGTATTATATATATGCAGTCAGGCTGTGATATGAATTGGAGAGAAAAGCACTTCTTTTTATAATTCTAGTCTGTCGAAAATTTGCATTTGCAAACACACACATACCTGGGAACATTTCGAAAATCAGAACTTGTCATGGCCAAGCATCATCACGTGTGTTGTTCCCTTTAGATGTTTAGTCACCGCCCTTACTGCATCCCGTTCCATCCTGTAGACGAAAACGGCGATCACGTGACGTGGCTTGACATCCGTCCCAGGTCGGCGGTATCTCCCAATACAAAGGACCCTTTTGCAGTGCGTATGGTCGCTGTCCAACTTCAGTTCTTTTTTTGATGAAATCCTCTAGTACTCAGCTCTTTTCTATGGAATACTGTAAGGGACCTTCTCGCGGTCTCGCATTTTCGCGATCTTGACCTTTGGAAACGAGCTAATATGCCAAAAACATGAGAATGCGAGATTGTGAGAACGCGAGATTTGGCCAAAATATCGCGTTCTCGCGATCTCGCATTCTCGTGTTTTTGATACAGAGCACTTTTTGTCACAAGTCGACAACGCGAGGATGCGACATTTGGACATGATGAAAATTCTCGCAGTCTCGCAATCTCGACTTGTCAAATTAGGCCACAAAAACACGAAATCGCGAGAATGCGACATTTCATTTTCTCGCGATCTCGTGTTCTCGTTATTATGATGCTGCCCGTGCGCATGCGTAATATCATAAGGTCAAGGCGCATGCGCACGTTAGCAGTCCGGTGGTCATGCTTCTTTCATGCTCTTCATTCTCCAAGTAGCATTTGGTAAAATTATGACTTGAGCTTGAACATGCTATCATGTCATTTACATACACTAAGACCCATGTAGAGTAGAGTAGAGTCCTCTCCCTTTGGTACAGTTTCATATGTACTTTAAATTAAAACCCTCAACATGCTCAATATAATTTAACAAAAGAAATTGTGTACATGAATGTCCAGTGATAGTGTAAACATTAAGGTGTGAGGAAACTGGAAACAAAATATCACTGTCAGTGAGAGAGTAAATATTGCTTAAAGCCACATCAGCAGTATTGCAGCTATTCGCGGCTGCACTGTCAATTATAGAAATAATCACAGGCCAGTGATTTTCTCCATGAGGCAATATTATACACGGCTAGCATATTCATCAAAACAAAATTCTCAAAGACCAATTTGTAGCATTCGGCTAAAATGAGATTGTCTGATGTTTTAACACGACAACATAGTCGCTACTTTAGGCCATACAAAATTAATTAATAGATTTTCATCCTCTCCCACCTGACTACAAAACACCCCGCCTTACATTATTCTATTGCCTCAAAGTTCCTAGAAATAGAAATATCGCTAATATGTGTGTTCCTACTCCGTACACGTAGCCCTACTGAACACGCATGGTGCATGTCGCACCCTTCGACGGCAATTATACACAGATGCCTTAAATAGCTGGATAAGAAAACAATAAAATGTTAAAAATAAAATGCGTTCCGTCTCCCATGTATTTTAAAATTAAATCAAACTCTGATCATTAATTTTTTGCGGCCTTGACATCCACATGATAGGCATGCTTATACTGGAAAAGTACCCCCAATATCCAGCCTGAGGGACCGGCATGGCTCTGAATAAGTGAGTGAGTTTGGCTTAACACCGCTTTGAACAGTATTTATATTTCAGTTATACCCTGGCTTGTCAGCTTGAAATGGGACGAAACCCACCATCATAGGTTTCTGGCACGCCCACGGAACGCAACCTTACACAGCGAATTACGACGCCTCAGACGACTGAGCCACTAGGTGAATGTAAAGGTAATTGGCAGAAAACAGCGAGATCGCGACATTGGTCAAGTTTCGCAATCTCGCGTTCTCGCGTTTTTTAAAATAGTTACATATAATTGTATAGGCAATTGACACAAAAGCATGAGAACGCGAGTTCGCGACAATGGTCAAGTGTTGCAATCTTGCGTTTTCGCGTTTTTAAAATAGTTACATATGATTGAATAGGCAATTGACACAAAAGCATGAGTTCGCGACATTGGACAAGTGTCGCAATCTCGCGTTCTCGCGTTTTTTGCTGCAATGGTTACATATGGCGGTTTGAGTGGAACAGCGCTAGCCAATCAGAATTCGCGTAGGAATTGGGATATTTTAATAAACATTTTCCCGCAATTAATTATGAAAATGTCGAATCGTGTAAACAATGGGTAAACATACTTGCACACCGGATATGAATAATTCATAAATAGTAAATATAATAATAATTGACTGCCCAAAAGAAGTTTTAAAAAGCCGAATTGTTCATATGAATATAGTTAATCCCCATGCCCCATCCTCTATATCTTCAGGGCTCGCACTCCGGTAAAACCTGAAGTAATCCCTGGATCCATTCGCGAGGTTTTCGCGATCTTAAATTACCCAACCATGCCAGATTAACTATATGTATACTCACATGAAAGCGGATGTTCTTTAACTTCTTTTGAGTCATATGTTATGTATGGAGACTTTTCTCAGAAAGTTTTGAAACATTTGATTTTGCAGGTTCAGAGGGGTAGGATTTGGAAGACATGTCCCCCAATCAAAGTGAAATCTTGAATCAAATAACATGAAATGTCCAGCACCGGAAACAACAGACATGACAAGCAGTTGAGGAACAATAGTGCAAAACATGTCTTTAAAAGTGAATGGTTACTCAATGATCTGCCCTTTATCATTGGGCCTATGACCGTGGGTTTTTTTGTGGTTTCTGGTGCTCAACTGTCTTCATATATATCAACAATTTGAACAGCGTCGGTCTACTCATTATTAAGTTGTTTTTGTCGCAACAATCGGCGGAATAATAAAAATATCAATA